CCATGTAGTTTACTCCCTCAAGTCATGTAGTTACTCCCTCACGCCATGTAGTTTACTCCCTCACGTCCTGTAGTTTACCCCCTCATGCCATGTAGTTTACTGCATCACGCCATGTAGTTTACTCCCTCATACCATGTAGTTTACTGCATCACGCCATGTAGTTTACTCCCTCACGTCCTGTAGTTTACTCCCTCAAGCCATGTAGTTTATTCCCTCAAGCCATGTAGTTTACTCCCGCACGCTATGTAGTTTACTGCCTCACGTCATGTAGTTTACTCCCTCACGTCATGTAGTTTACTCCCTCACGTCCTGTAGTTTATTCCCTCAAGCCATGTAGTTTACTCCCTCAAGCCATGTAGTTTATTCCCTCAAGCCATGTAGTTTTACTCCCGCACGCTATGTAGTTGACTCCCTCACGTCATGTAGTTTACTCCCTCACGCCATGTAGTTTACTCCCTCAAGCCATGTAGTTTATTCCCTCAAGCCATGTAGTTTACTCCCGCACGCTATGTAGTTGACTCCCTCACGTCATGTAGTTTACTCCCTCACGCCATGTAGTTTACTCCCTCACGTCCTGTAGTTTACTCCCTCAAGCCATGTAGTTTACTCCCGCACGCTATGTAGTTGACTCCCTCACGTCATGTAGTTTATTCCCTCACGCCATGTAGTTTACTCCCTCACGCCATGTAGTTTACTCCCTCAAGCCATGTAGTTTATTCCCTCAAGCCATGTAGTTTACTTCCTCAAGCCATGTAGTTTATTCCCTCAAGCCATGTAGTTTACTCCCGCACGCTATGTAGTTTACTCCCTCACGTCATGTAGTTTACTCCCTCACGCCATGTAGTTTACTCCCTCAAGCCATGTAGTTTACTCCCGCACGCTATGTAGTTGACTCCCTCACGTCATGTAGTTTACTCCCTCACGCAATGTTGTTTACTGCCTCATGCCATGTAGTTTACTCCCTCAAGCCATGTAGTTTACTCCCTCGTGCCATGTAGTTTACTCCCTCAAGCCATGTAGTTTACTCCCTCATGCCATGTAGTTTACTCCCTCATGCCATGTAGTTTACTCCCTCAAGCCATGTAGTTTACTCCCGCACGCTATGTAGTTTACTCCCTCACGTCATGTAGTTTACTCCCTCACGTCATGTAGTTTACTCCCTCAAGCCATGTAGTTTACTCCCTCGTGCCATGTAGTTTACTCCCTCAAGCCATGTAGTTTACTCCCTCATGCCATGTAGTTTACTCCCTCATGCCATGTAGTTTACTCCCTCACGCCATGTAGTTTACTCCCTCATACCATGTAGTTTACTCCCTCACGCCATGTAGTTTACTCCCTCATGCCATGTAGTTTACTCCCTCAAGCCATGTAGTTTACTCCCTCATGCCATGTAGTTTACTCCCTCATGCCATGTAGTTTACTCCCTCATGCCATGTAGTTTACTCCCTCATGCCATGTAGTTTACTCCCTCACGTCATGTAGTTTACTCCCTCACGTCATGTAGTTTACTCCCTCACATCATGTAGTTTACTGCATCAAGCCATGTAGTTTACTGCCTCACGCCATGTAGTTTACTGCCTCACGTCATGTAGTTTACTGCCTCACGTCATGTAGTTTACTGCATCATGCCATGTAGTTTACTCCCTCACGCCATGTAGTTTACTCCCTCACGCCATGTAGTTTACTCCCTCATGCCATGTAGTTTACTCCCTCAAGCCATGTAGTTTACTCCCTCATGCCATGTAGTTTACTCCCTCATACCATGTAGTTTACTCCCTCACGTCATGTAGTTTACTCCCTCATGCCATGTAGTTTACTCCCTCACGTCATGTAGTTTACTCCCTCATACCATGTAGTTTACTCCCTCACGTCATGTAGTTTACTCCCTCATGCCATGTAGTTTACTCCCTCATGCCATGTAGTTTACTCCCTCATACCATGTAGTTTACTCCCTCATGCCATGTAGTTTACTCCCTCACGCCATGTAGTTTACTCCCTCATACCATGTAGTTTACTCCCTCAAGCCATGTAGTTTACTCCCTCGTGCCATGTAGTTTACTCCCTCAAGCCATGTAGTTTACTCCCTCATGCCATGTTGTTTACTGCCTCATGCCATGTAGTTTACTCCCTCAAGCCATGTAGTTTACTCCCGCACGCTATGTAGTTTACCCCCTCACGTCATGTAGTTTACTCCCTCACGCCATGTAGTTTACCCCCTCACGCCATGTAGTTTACTCCCTCGTGCCATGTAGTTTACTCCCTCATGCCATGTAGTTTACTCCCTCACGCCATGTAGTTTACTCCCGCACGCTATGTAGTTTACCCCCTCACGTCATGTAGTTTACTCCATCACGTCATGTAGTTTACTCCCTCACGCCATGTAGTTTACCCCCTCACGCCATGTAGTTTACTCCATCACGTCATGTAGTTTGCTCCCTCACGTCATGTAGTTTACTCCCTCACGTCCTGTAGTTTACTCCCTCACGTCATGTAGTTTACTCCCTCACGCCATGTAGTTTACCCCCTCACGCCATGTAGTTTACTCCATCACGTCATGTAGTTTGCTCCCTCAAGTCATGTAGTTTACTCCATCACGTCATGTAGTTTACCCCCTCACGCCATGTAGTTTACTCCATCACGTCATGTAGTTTGCTCCCTCAAGTCATGTAGTTTACTCCCTCAAGTCATGTAGTTTACCCCCTCACGCCATGTAGTTTACTCCCTCACGCCATGTAGTTTACCCCCTCACGCCATGTAGTTTACTCCATCACGTCATGTAGTTTGCTCCCTCAACTCATGTAGTTTACTCCCTCACGTCATGTAGTTTGCTCCCTCAACTCATGTAGTTTACTCCATCACGTCATGTAGTTTGCTCCCTCAACTCATGTAGTTTACCCCCTCACGCCATGTAGTTTACTCCCTCACGCCATGTAGTTTACTCCCTCATGCCATGTAGTTTACTCCCTCATGCCATGTAGTTTACTCCCTCATACCATGTAGTTTACTCCCTCACGTCATGTAGTTTACTGCCTCATGTCATGTAGTTTACTCCCTCACGTCATGTAGTTTACTCCCTCATGCCATGTAGTTTACTCCCTCACGTCATGTAGTTTACCCCCTCACGCCATGTAGTTTACTCCCTCACGCCATGTAGTTTACTCCCTCATGCCATGTAGTTTACTCCCTCATGCCATGTAGTTTACTCCCTCATACCATGTAGTTTACTCCCTCACGCCATGTAGTTTACTCCCTCATGCCATGTAGTTTACTCCCTCACGTCATGTAGTTTACTCCCTCATGCCATGTAGTTTACTCCCTCACGTCATGTAGTTTACTCCCTCATACCATGTAGTTTACTCCCTCACGTCATGTAGTTTACTCCCTCATGCCATGTAGTTTACTCCCTCATGCCATGTAGTTTACTCCCTCATACCATGTAGTTTACTCCCTCATGCCATGTAGTTTACTCCCTCACGCCATGTAGTTTACTCCCTCATACCATGTAGTTTACTCCCTCAAGCCATGTAGTTTACTCCCTCGTGCCATGTAGTTTACTCCCTCAAGCCATGTAGTTTACTCCCTCATGCCATGTTGTTTACTGCCTCATGCCATGTAGTTTACTCCCTCAAGCCATGTAGTTTACTCCCGCACGCTATGTAGTTTACCCCCTCACGTCATGTAGTTTACTCCCTCACGCCATGTAGTTTACCCCCTCACGCCATGTAGTTTACTCCCTCGTGCCATGTAGTTTACTCCCTCATGCCATGTAGTTTACTCCCTCACGCCATGTAGTTTACTCCCGCACGCTATGTAGTTTACTGCATCACGTCATGTAGTTTACTCCCTCACGCCATGTAGTTTACTCCCTCACGCCATGTAGTTTACTCCCTCATGCCATGTAGTTTACTCCCTCACGCCATGTAGTTTACTAACTCACGCCATGTAGTTTACTCCCTCACGCCATGTAGTTTACTCCCTCACGCCATGTAGTTTACTCCCTCACGCCATGTAGTTTACTCCCTCACGCCATGTAGTTTACTCCCTCATGCCATGTAGTTTACTCCCTCACGCCATGTAGTTTACTCCCTCATGCCATGTAGTTTACTCCCTCACGCCATGTAGTTTACTCCCGCACGCTATGTAGTTTACCCCCTCACGTCATGTAGTTTACTCCATCACGTCATGTAGATTACTCCCTCACGCCATGTAGTTTACCCCCTCACGCCATGTAGTTTACTCCATCACGTCATGTAGTTTGCTCCCTCACGTCATGTAGTTTACTCCCTCACGTCCTGTAGTTTACTCCCTCACGTCATGTAGTTTACTCCCTCACGCCATGTAGTTTACCCCCTCACGCCATGTAGTTTACTCCATCACGTCATGTAGTTTGCTCCCTCAAGTCATGTAGTTTACTCCATCACGTCATGTAGTTTACCCCCTCACGCCATGTAGTTTACTCCATCACGTCATGTAGTTTGCTCCCTCAACTCATGTAGTTTACTCCCTCACGCCATGTAGTTTACTCCCTCACGCCATGTAGTTTGCTCCATCACGCCATGTAGTTTACTCCCTCACGTCATGTAGTTTACTCCCTCAAGTCATGTAGTTTACCCCCTCACGCCATGTAGTTTACTCCCTCACGCCATGTAGTTTACCCCCTCACGCCATGTAGTTTACTCCATCACGTCATGTAGTTTGCTCCCTCAACTCATGTAGTTTACTCCCTCACGCCATGTAGTTTACTCCCTCACGCCATGTAGTTTGCTCCCTCACGCCATGTAGTTTATTGCTCACTGCATGTCGATTACTGCCTCACACTATATAGTTTACTGCTTCACACTTTGTAGATTAACAATGAATTAACAATCGGGCAGTACATGTTGCAATATCAACACAATGTCATCCCCTATTTCGACCTGAAGGTGATTGTTTTATATCAATTCAGAAGGTGACGATTTATCCAGAGTATTATGTCCAATAAAAATGTTTAACACTGGGTCTCAAGTGTATAAATGATATTTTATTCACAAGATATTACTCATATCCAATCTTCAGATGTCTGACATATGTCCATAAGAGGGGTTGCAGAAATTCATCTTGGTTTCCTCAGTCACGTACACGTAATCTCTTGCTGCTGTCCCCCGCCGTCGCCTAGCAACATTGAAAACATGCATTTGGAACTATGTCATATCGAGACGTTGATGGGACAAGGTAAGTGACATAGCTTTCTAGCGTAACTGTATAAATTGTATGCGTGGGGGTGTACACAGTTACGTATCCTCTGCGTTGAGTGGGCGTCTTGTGTTCTCTTCTCACAGGCACAGGTTTCGGAAAGAACGCTATCACATCCTCTCCAAAGAGATGTAGATCGTAATGTTTAGAATACGTAGAATAAATTATCGTCAAGTACTTTCTACGTGAAGGAGTAGGTCGACATGCATCTTCAGTAGGGACGTATGTCGTCACAGATCCTCAACGTAAGGAAGCAGGTCCTCACGCATCCTCTACTTAGTGGAATAGGACGTCACGCATCCTCTACTTAGTGGAATAGGACGTCACGCATCCTCTACTTAGTGGAATAGGACGTCACGCATCCTCTACTTAGTGGAATAGGTCGTGACACATCCTCTACTTAGTGGAATAGGTCGTGACGCATCCTCGTCGTAGTGGAATAGGTCGTGACGCATCCTCGTCGTAGTGGAATAGGACGTCACGCATCCTCAATATAGAGTAGGTCGTCTAGTATTCTCTACGTGGAGTAGGTCGTCTAGTATTCTCTATGTAGAGGAGTAGGTAGTCTAGTATTCTCTACTTTGATGAGTAGATCTCCAAATATTCACTAAGTAGAGGAGTAGATCGTCTAGTATTCTCTACGTTGAGGAGTAGGTCCTCTAGTATACTCTACGTAAAGGAGTAGGTCGTCTAGCATTCGCTACGTAGAGGAGAAGTCTTCTGGTATTCCTTACGTGGAGGAGTAGGTCGTCTAGTATTTTCAACGTAGAGGAGTAGGTCGTCTAGTATTCGCTACGTGGAGGAGTAGATCTCTAAATATTCACTAAGAAGAGGAGTAGGTCGTCTAGTATTCCATACTTAGAGGAGTAGATCTCCAAATATTCACTAAGTAGAGGAGTAGGTCGTCTTGTATTTTCTACGTAGAGGAGTATGTCGTCTAGTATTTTCTACATAGAGGAGTAGGTCGTCTAGTATTCTCTACGTAGAGGAGTAGATCGTCTAGTATTCTCTACTTAGATGAGTAGGTCGTCTATTATTCCCTACGTGGAGGAGTAGGTCGTCTAGTATTCTCTACTTAGATGAGTGGGTCATCTAATACTCTATACGTGGAGGAGAAATACACTCTGCAATATGTACTTGCTATACTTGAGACAGAGTTACTTTGAATGACTTCTTGTTGTGACTGCGTTATTGTAGATAACTGGACCCCAGGGTGTAATATAATAATACTCCTCGTTACCTGCAGTAGATAACTGGACCCTCGGATAAGGAATCATATTCCCCGTTACCTGAAATAAATAACTGGACCCCCGGGTGAAGAATCATATTCCCCGTTACCTGCAGTAGATAACTGGACCCCAGGGTGAAGAATCATATTCCCCGTTACCTGCAGTAGATAACTGGACCATCGGGTGAAGAATCATATTCCCTGTTACCTGCAGTAGATAACTGGACCCCCGGATGAAGAATCATATTCCCCGTTACCTGCAGTAGATAACTGGACCCCAGGGTGAAGAATCATATTCCCCGTTACCTGCAATAAATAACTGGACCCCCGGGTGAAGAATCATATTCCCTGTTACCTGCAGTTGATAACTGGACCATAGGGTGAAGTGTCATAATACCTCCCTTTACCTGCAGTAGATATAGATATTACTACACGAGTTTCTGTCAGATACCATTGATCTTACAACGAGTTGTTTCAAAACGTATCTAACGAGCGAAAGCGAGTTAAATACGCTTTGTAACAACGAGTTGTAAGATCAATGGTATCTGACAGGCACGAGTACAGTAATCTGTTTCTTACACACCCTAAAATCGCACTTTAGCATCGAACCGATGAATTTTGTCTATTCTCATGATTGCAGTAGCGCATTAATACATAACACCTCTGTCATAAGTGACGTCATCCTTTGTGCTGCTTACTACTTATAAATAATGTGATCCTACACAAAAAGGTTTCCGTCATATATGTGGATTATCAAGGCGATGATGAAAATGCAAACTAGACAAAAACAAAGAACACGCTGTGTGCCAAGTTGAAAGTTTACACCTCAAAGAAATTACCAAATATGTACAACAATGTTTACTTCCGTATGACATCACTACCGGTGACCGACTTTTACAAAATGGCGTGTTCACTGACAACAGTACGCGGGATTTCCAGAGGAGGTTTTCGTTGATTGAGGGATCGTATACACATAAATGTGTCACGTAAGTAATCAGAAACATTCTGACAATCTGCGTACTGTTATTTGTTTACCATGTTTTCCAATGTAACAAAGAGAATTAGTCAGAAATGCAGACAACTACCGTCATCGTTGGGCGTGATTTAGCGTCAGTCATGGCGTCACACAGGACGGAAACTTTTACGGCTTCTGTTGAATTTACCACATCATTGTAATGTATATATGTGTAATTCCCTAATTATAATTAGTGCAACGATACTCTTCCCCTGAATATTCTCAAACGCGTGATGGAGCCAATGTATGCAACAATAAGTCGAAAGTACCTCTAAAAATGCTACACAGTGTAAAATCTGAATTTTGCTTTGTTTACATTTCAGCAAGTACAGTTTTCCGAGCACAGTTTTCGTTTCCATACCTAATCTATTTCGCATGATTTCATTTAGATAAGTTGCATTCGTGACAAAGACCATCTATCCATTGTTTCGGAAATGTATGAGGAATTTCATTGATGCATGTATAGCAGCTGAGTTTGAAATATACCTGATCGAATAGGCGTCTCATAACCGGCATTTTGTAAACACAATCACATATGGTACACTTCGGCGTTCGTGTATGCGTATTTTCCAAAACATTCTAAACGATTCTAGGCTTATCAGCGACGTTTCAGAATTATCATTAGTGATGTGATACCCGTGATCACTAATATGCTATTTATTTACTTTAATTATTCGAGTAAATATCCGATATTTAGATTTCTAAACACACAGTAAATGTTTATATAACGCCGTGAATTGTGATTTGGCGAGATTTACAATATACCTAACTTTCAGTCACTTTCAGTAATTTTGAATTGCCTAAAATGACAGTAAATGATAAACAGGAGGGGGAATTCAAAACTGTGAAGATTCTTCGTGATGTATTTTGAATTTTATTCGATTTCGCAGTGAGGGTTGATGAGAAGGGACATATGTGTCGCTGTGGCAGCCAGGGGGGTATAATTACACTGTGAAAAAAACCGATAATGTTGACATAACAACAGATAATGTAACTGATAATAACAAACAAACTCGCAGACGAAGACGAGTTTGTTTATTTTTATTATTAATTACACGGTCTTGCTGTTCAATACAGACGTAGGTGAGCATTCGACTGAAGCACGAGCTACTTATGAATGACTTACACTCAGGAAAGTAGTCCGTCATCATCTGACCCCAGGTCATCACCATGGAGTAGCCAATCACGGGCCTGGAATTCGATCTCACACATATGTTTGATACCAGTTATCTCAAATGGGTTTCTCACCCACAGGTGTGTAAGAAAACTGGACCACAGGGTGAAGAATCATATTCCCCGTTACCTACAGTAGATAACTGGACCCTAGGGTAAAGAATCATATTCCCCGTTACCTGCAGTAGATAACTGGACCCCAGGGTGAAGAATCATATTCCCCGTTACCTACAGTAGATAACTGGACCCTAGGGTAAAGAATCATATTCCCCGTTACCTGCAGTAGATAACTGGACCACAGGGTGAAGTGTTATAATAATCCCCCTTACCTGCAGTCAATATCTGAACCCAAGGGTAAAGAATCATATCCCCCCTTAAATGCAGTAGATAACTGGACCCCCGGGTAAAGAATCATATCCCCCCTTACCTGCAGTGGATAACTGGACCATCGGGTGAAGAATCATATTCCCCCTTACCTGCAGTAGATAACTGGACCCCGGGTAAAGAATCATATTCCCCGTTACCTGCAGTAGATAACCGGACCCCCCGGGTGAAGAATCATATTCCCCCTTACCTGCAGTAGATAACTGGACCATAGGGTGAAGTGTCATAATACCTCCCGTTACCTGCAGTAGATAACTGGACCCCAGGGTGAAGTGTCAAAATACGTCCCGTTACCTGCAGTAGATAACTGGACCACAGGGTGAAGAATCATATTCCCCTTTACCTGCAGTAGATAACTGGACCACAGGGTGAAGAATCATATTCCCCGTTACCTGCAGTAGATAACTGGACCCCAGGCTGAAGTGTCATAATACCTCCCCTTACCTGCAGTAGATAACTGGACCCCAGGGTGAAGAATCATATTTCCCCCTTACCTGCAGTAGATAACTGGACCCCCGGGTGAAGAATCATATTCCCCGTTACCTGCAGTAGATAACTGGACCCTGGGTAAAGAATCATATTCCCCGTTACCTGCAGTAGATAACTGGACCCCAGGGTGAAGAATCATATCCCCCCTTACCTGCAGTAGATAACTGGACCCTAGGGTGAAGAATCATATTCCTCCTTACCTGCAGTAAATAACTGAACCCAAGGGTAAAGAATCATATTCCCCGTTACCTACAGTAGATAACTGGACCACAGGGTGAAGTGTTATAATACTCCCCACCTACCTGCAGTAAATATCTGAACCCAAGGGTAAAGAATCATATCCCCCCTTAAATGCAGTAGATAACTGGACCCCGGGTAAAGAATCATATTCCCCCTTACTTGCAGTGGATAACTGGACCACCGGGTGAAGAATCATATTCCCCGTTACCTGCAGTAGATAACTGGACCCTGGGTAAAGAATCATATTCCCCGTTACCTGCAGTAGATAACTGGACCCCGGGTGAAGAATCATATTCCCCGTTACCTGCAGTAGATAACTGGACCCCGGGTGAAGAATCATATTCCCCGTTACCTGCAGTAGATAACTGGACCACAGGGTGAAGAATCATATTCCCCGTTACCTGCAGTAGATAACTGGACCATCGGGTGAAGAATCATATTCCCCGTTACCTGCAGTAGATAACTGGACCACAGGGTGAAGAATCATATTCCCCGTTACCTGCAGTAGATAACTGGACCCTGGGTAAAGAATCATATTCCCCGTTACCTGCAGTAGATAACTGGACCCCGGGTGAAGAATCATATTCCCCGTTACCTGCAGTAGATAACTGGACCACAGGGTGAAGAATCATATTCCCCGTTACCTGCAGTAGATAACTGGACCCTGGGTAAAGAATCATATTCCCCGTTACCTGCAGTAGATAACTGGACCCCGGGTGAAGAATCATATTCCCCGTTACCTGCAGTAGATAACTGGACCCCGGGTGAAGAATCATATTCCCCGTTACCTGCAGTAGATAACTGGACCACAGGGTGAAGAATCATATTCCCCGTTACCTGCAGTAGATAACTGGACCCCAGGGTGAAGTGTTATAATAATCCCCCTTACCTGCAGTAGATAACTTGACCCCAGGGTGAAGAATCATATCCCCCCATACCTGCAGTAGATAACTGGACCCCCGGATGAAGAATCATATTCCCCGTTACCTGCAGTAAATAACTGGACCCCCGGGTGAAGAATCATATTCCCCGTTACCTGCAGTAGATGATGGTGATGACGACGGCAGCGACTCCGACAACTCCCACTGATACAGACACTGATATGATTACTGTCTTCTGAAATGAAATAAATAATTTGTGCAGTATAGGCAGGAGAACTCTTGTCTGGTGCCAGGGTCCCGGTGTCATCAGTGGCCAGTATGATCTAAAACATACTACTTACATCTTAGAAATATAAATTGTCAATGCAAGAGAACAATAAGTCTAGGTCATCTGCGGAACTGAATACACAAGAACAGGCTTATAGAAAACACACCATCCCCCTTTATGGTAGGCATCAGTGACAAAAGTGATGTAGGGGCGGTCGGGTAGTTAAGTGGTTAAAGCGTTCGCTCGTCACGCCAAAAACCAGGGTTCGAATCCCAACATGGGTACAATGTGTGAAGCCCATTTCTTGTGATATTGCTGGAATATTGCTAAAAGCGGCGTAAAACCATACTCACTCACTTACTCACTTAAGTTATGTACGATGCAATAACCTCTTTTGACTTGTACATGTTCACGTGTTTTCTCAGGTGAACAATTAACCTGCCCTTGCATGTGTTTGTGACTGTTGCCCCCGATGTGACAGGATTCGCTCACTATTTCGCGAACACCTAATACCAACACTATTTGATAGTGATTCAAAAACACATGCTCATGATATAGTCGGAATTGTACAAAGGCAGAGATTATTGGTATGGGAGAGGTTTGTGTCGTAAGTATTCACTTCATGACATATAGGTAGTGCCACCAGGACTGACAGCCGGTAATAGTCGCCTTTGACGGCAAGCATGGGTTGCTGAAGACCAATTCTAACCTGGATCTTCACGGGTCTTACGTTATGATATGCAGATCTTACCCGTGAAGACCCGCGTTTGAATTCGTCATCAGCAACATTTTTGTGTGTGTAAAAGGAGACTAGCGGGATCGGGGGATCAGTCTCGGTGACATGGTTGATGTATGTCATCGTATTCGAATAACGTAGATCGATGCTCATAATGTCAATCACTGGATTTTTTAGCCAAGGTTCGATTATTTACAGACTACCGTCATACAGCTGGAATACTGCTTAGTGCAGCGGTAAACAACAAACAAACAAACAAACTGAATGTTGTTTTGTTTTCAGAATGCTGCGAATGTAAACGAATACTGCTTAGTGTAGCGTTAAACAACAAACAAACAAACTGAATGTTGTGTTGTTTTCAGAATGCTGCGAATGTAAACGAATAATTAACCCATTACCTGTGACAATTGGGCCAGTAATAAAATCGTGGCATAAAAGACCAGGTACCCGGGTAAGTTCCGATTAAAGGGGATGATAATTCACACAACGTCCTGAAACACATTATTCCAGAGCAGCTGTCTGGGAAAGTTGAACAGTGGACGGCAATAATTATATATATTCTGAAACTTCTATCACACAGACCTTTGATGTATTTTCATTGCTTCCTGTATTTTCTGACACAAGTTGTTTGGAAAACAGTTTCTGAAAGTCTGCGGCTGTGACGGAAGTAATTGCTTTCTGTATGTCACTGGTGGATGTCTGTTTATCGCCACATTGAACACTGAACGAAACGGCATCCTTAAACCTGTTTACAAAAGAAAATGTTTGTTTACGTTTGCATATTTACCATATTATTTTGCATACAAGTAGTGTGTTCATTCAGTAAGACTACTACTCAAACATTGATAATGAACCAGAAAATGGATATAATTATGATCAATGTTTGTTTGTTTGTTTAACGCCGCACTCAGCAATATTCCAGCTATATGACGGCGGTCTGTTAATAATCGAGTCTGGTCCAGACAATCCAGTGATTGATATCATGAGCATCGATTCACGCAATTGGGAAACGATGACATGCATCAACCAGGTCAGCGAGCCTGACCACCCGATCCCGTAAGTCGCCTCTTACGACAAGCACAGTCGCCTTTTACGGCAAGCATGGGTTGCTGAAGACCTATTCTCCCCCGGATCTTCACGGGTCTATGATCAATGTAAAACCGTCTGAAAGTATTTATCATGTGATATTTAGTTGTTACATGATACATTGTATTGGTATTTGCAATGGGACGTTGAGTTATTTTATAACGCTAAATCATATAGATGTGTTATCAGTTAATTGTATACATCATAAAGCAGAAACACACACAAAAATAGTTTTGGTAACAACGGTAACCCGAGCGTTCCTTTCTATCATTAAAGACTCTGAAATCTTCATCAAGTCTGTAAAAAGTCAAGAAAACATTCAAAATTCATATTAAAAGTATATTTGTAATAATATATAATTGCCCGTGTACCAGGTCACATCTGTTTATGACTTGCCCGCTGTAACATGAGACTATGTTTGGTCTGTCGCTACATATTAGTTTATTCGGATCAACTCTATTGGAACATTACGTTACGTGTGAGACTGAGGTGTGAGACGGATGTGGTCGTCGTGGCACATGTGGTCGTTGAAGAAGTTGGTTAAACTCGCAACAATATCTTGGCCATCTGCCGCTGACAACGCCGTCTTGAAGTGAAGGGTATAAACACCTAGGTATAAATACAGAACGGGGTGTATATATCTGAATACAACAGTTATAGCCAGGGACGTGTAATGGTGAATGATTAACACGATGACACACGCTTGGGGTACGATGAAGAGGCAAAAAAGAGCATTGAAACGTCGTTAAAAACAATGAAGAATGTGTTATCTATGACAGCGTCTTATCTTCAGTTTCTTCCAAATTCAAAATGCTAACCGAAAACCTGATCCTGCTTGATGTTCCTGAAAACCCCATCATGACTGGGTGCCCTACGTGGCCCAAGACGGCCGTAAGAATTCACATGTTGCCTTCTTCAGCATGGGGAATTACGAAAACTACCACTGATGACCTGTTCTGGACCACGTTCGACAAAGGGACTAAGAGCAAAGACCATCATAACTCCCATGCTCTTACTTATAGATTTAAGACAGTCATAGCGCTATTTTCGATTTGTGTAACTGGCCGCTGACTCTTGTTATCCTAGATGTTACATATGCAGTTTGTTTGTTTGTTTATTTGTTATTTACGCCGCACTTAACAATATTCCAGTTATATGACAGCGGTCAAATAATCGAGTCTGGACCAGACAATACAGTCATTGCATCGATCCACGTAATTGGGATTCGATGACATGCATCAACCAAGTCAGCGAGTCTGTCCATCCGATCACGTAAGTCGTCTCATACGACAAAAGCATTATCACCTTTTACGGCAAGCATGGGTTGCTGAAGACCTATTCTACCCCGGATCTTCACGGGTCTACATACAGGTTACTGTTGGCAGACCCCGACACACATTTCATTATGAACCTACTCATTTTGGGGGCAGATGGTCTACAGTGCCACAGTCAAATGAGATATATAGCCGTGCAATACACATTGTCGTATTTATGTAAGTGTATATTTATTACATACCTGACGGGTTTGTTGTAAGCACGTTAGGTGGACTTGTGTTTGTCTCGCCCATGCGTTTATTTGTTTGTCTGACTGTTTGTTTGGGTTGGATATTTGTTGGACTTGTGTTTCTGATTTTCATCGTTGAATGACTGAGTGGCACTGATGTTGTCGTTGTTGATCTCGTTGTTGTTGACGTTGCCGTCGTAGCGTGTGGAGTAGTAGTTAAAGATATTGACCGTGTAGTCTGGATGGTTGGTCTGCGTTTAGAAGACGTGGTGCTGGACGCGGTGCTGTGCTTTTCAGAAAAGGGAATACTAGGTCCTGTTGATGAAAACGTAGTTTTCGTATACCTCAGTGTAGACGATGTCGACCTTGTTGATGTCCCTTTGGACGATGAAACTGTAGTTGATGAAGACGCATGTGCAGCTTCAGACATATTGACGTCACAGTGGGCGCCAGACCAAGGATGGACACAGACACAGATCACGGCTGTGTCAGCTACGGCACATGTCCCATTGTTGGAGCACGGAGAAGACCAGCATGGGTCTATCGTGCTGGAACATTGTGGGCCAGTCAATCCAGAAGCACAGACACACGTGACTTGACCATCCGCGAACAAACAGGTTGACCCCTGACCACACTGACTGTTTGCACAAGGGTCCACAGCCACATCGCATCGCTGACCGGTCCACCCGTAGGCACAGGAGCAGCTGTACCCATATATGTGGTCAGTGCAACTACCCCCATTTAAACATGGTTTCCAGCTGCAATTATTAACGAAATCTCCACAAACACTTCCTGTCCAATTTCCAGGACAAGCACATCGGAATCCACCATCGTAATTGACACATGTGCCGTTGTTGAGACACTGGGGCGAGACGCACTCATCGACGTCCGTGCCGCAGTGGTGACCCTTCCAGTAGGAGTTGCAAGTACAATTGTACCCTCCAGGAATGTCGACACACGTGGCATTGTTCTGACAAGGTCCGGCAGCACATTCATCAATTTGTGCCTGGCACTGTTGTCCGGTATACCCACCCGGGCACTGACATCGGTAGCCCTGGTCAGTGTTGGAGCAGGTTCCACCATTGATGCATGGACTCGGTGGTGCACAGGCATCCTGCCTGTACTGGCAGGTCGTCCCCTTCCATCCCGGCATACAGCTGCAGTTATACCCACCGTCATAGTTGGAACACGAACTACCATGAGCGCACATTCCAAGAAAACATTCATCAATGTCCTGATCACACTTCTGTCCACTCCAGCCATCAATGCACTCGCATTCGAAGCTGCCGTTGTTGTTTGTGCATACTGTAGAATGATCGCATATGTTCGCTTTACACTCATCGACGTCTTGTTCACAGTGTGCCCCGGTCCAGCCAGAAGGGCAGACACACCAGGAATCTGTCTCGTTGCTCTGACAGGTGCCCGCGTTGTTACACGAACCCTCGGTACACGATCCTTTGAAATGTTCGCACGTGTTTCCCGACCAATGCAGGTTACAGATGCAGTGAAAGCTGCCTAGCGTGTTGACACAGAAGCCTTGGTTCAGACATGGGTTGGATCCGCATTCCTGTACATCTGTTGAACAGTTCGATCCCGTCCACCCTCCAGAACAGTTGCAGATGTATCCTCCAACGGTGTTCACACATGTCGCGCCATTCTCACAAGCACCTGCCTCACATTCATCGGTGTCTTGCTCACAGTGATCTCCATGCCATGACGGCCCACAGTCGCACTGATAGGTGTGTGTACCGTCAAAACATGTGCCGTTGTTGAGACATGGGTTGCTGCGACAAAAACCAATGAAGGTTTCACACTTAAGTCCCGACCAGCCAGGAGCGCATTGGCAGGTTGAATTAGTTTCATCAGCTCTTAAACAAGTACCACCGTTCTGACATGGGTAGAGAATGCACGGATCATTGGACTCCGTACAGAGAGCCCCACGCCATTCATGGCCACACTCACATTTAAACGTCGTGTCATTGTGGACACAGCTGCCACCGTTCTGACACGGGTTGGAGGAACATCTGTCAAGTACTGTTTGACACGTGGTCCCTGTCCAACCATCCGGGCATGCGCAGACGTACATATCTATCTGGTTTATACAAGTAGCCCCATTCATACACTGCCTTGGGGGACACACGGGGTTTAGGTCCGTACATCGTTCACCCACCCACTTTGCTGGGCAGGTACAGTTGAATCCACCCTTTTCGTTGTTGCACGTTCCACCATTGGCACAAGGCTGTAGTTTACACTCGTTAACATCTTCTGTACAGTTGTCGCCCGTCCAGCTGGCCGGACACCCACACACAACTTTCCCCGATGTCACCTCACATCTACCCCCATTGTAACACGGGTTGGGTTCGCACCCAGGGCTATACGTCTCACAGGTGGGTCCAGACCACCCTTTAGAACACCGACAGGATAAGGTGGGTGAGCTACTGACACAGGTGCCATTGTTTCTGCATGGGTTACTTGTACACAACGATTGGAATGTGTCACATGACGATCCTGTCCAGCCATCGTTGCAGGTACAGGTGTAACTTCCGGCGGTGTTTGCGCATGTGCTGTTACCCGGACATACTTGATTCAGTTGTGTGGGGGAGCACTCGTCTATGTCCTCTTCACACTTGTCTCCATGCCAACCTACAACAGACACAATCCACAGTGAGGGAGTCAGATCTCGAGCTTAATGACTGTCGGGGACACCATGGATGGGCTTCACGCATTCCTAAGCAATGCGGATCAAATAACCATCAAGTAGATCAATGCGTAGATGGGAAAGACTGCATACATGCTGGGTAGGGGGTGTATAAATATAAACATAGCGTCAACGACGTAATTATGTAGTTACAATAATGCTTTTTCGGCTCATGTCGATCTATATATTGTTGGAAACACCAGTCATACGTATTTTGTTCGCAAAAATATTATTTCCTCTCTTCCCACCTCAAACATGTATTACACAGACTTTTTTCCTAAAGTTCTGTCGGAGTGTACAGTATGTGAACAATTGCATGTACATGAACTCTACCACGACAGCTTATGTGTTACAGAGACCTTGGTTGCAGCGGATGGTCCCAGTCGTGTGGTCGCAGTAGGAATTGATGTAGGTGGTGGTGCAGTTGATGGAGCAGTCGTTGCCGTAGTAGTTGGGGGTGCAGCCAACGCTGACGTCTAACACTAACCTGGAGAAATATATTTAGCTTCGTTATTATTCGAGTGCATTACACAAGAGTTCGGATTAACGAGGTTATGTACCAACGAAATACAGACTTTCGACATGTTGAACCTCTTTGTGGCTAAGATTGAGTTGCGTTTTACACCGCTTTGAACTCTATATCACGTAGCACCAACTTATTAAGGTTGGTTTGTTGGTTTGTTGTTTAACGCCGCTCTCAGCAATATTCCAGCTATATGACAGCGGTCTGTAAATAATCGAGTCTGGACCAGACAATCCAGTGCTTAATATCACGAGCATCGATCCACTCAATTGGTATACGGTGACATGCATCAACCAAGTCAGCGAGACTGACCACCCGATCCCCTAAGTCGCCTCTTACGACAAACACAGTCGCCTTTTACGGCAAGCATCGGTTGCTGAAGAGCTATTCTAGCCCGGCTCTTCACGGGTCGGATTCAGAGAGACTCGAGTGTAGGTCGGGTATCCGTTTAAACTGAATATTCGCTTATTGCTGTCAATATTGATTTAAGAGATGTCTATTTGGGTTCATTACCGCCGTCAGTGAACCTACACAGTTCTCATCCTCGTGCCACTCAGCGTCAGCGGTACCCCAGCAGTTGTGTTTGTTGTCAAGGGAGTCGTGAGGGTGGTGTTAAAGACATCGATGAGGGCATCGTTAGAGTCACCAGCGTTTTTGTCCTTCACGTTTATCATGAAAGGCGTTCCACCTCGCTGTAGAAAACAAGGAATTACAGATCTGAATTAAAAACGGCGTCTTTTTATAATTTCTTTCGTTATTTATGTCATCTGGGAACTCGGAATGTCAAGGTACAAAGAGTTGAAGTTCATTCTTTGTGAACTCACTCACTAGCCCAGGTACTCTCTTACAAGCACATGCGCGTACTCACAAGCACAGGCGCGTACTCACAAGCACATGCGCGTGCTCACAAGCACAAGGCACTCACGACCACAGACACTCACTCACAAGTACAAGGCACTCACCAGCTAGCCCAGGTTATGCTTGTCGTAAGAGGCGACTAACGGGATCGGGTGGTCAGGGTCGCTGACTTGGTTGATGCATGTCATCGTATCCCAATTACGTTGATCAATGCTCATGATGTCAATCACTGGATTGTCTGGTCCAGACTTGATTATTAACAGACCGCCGTCATATAGCTGGCATATTGCTGAGTGCATCGTTAAACAACAAACAATCAAAGAAACTCGCCCAACGGAAGCAATTTTCAAACACAAGGCACTCACTCACAGGCACAAGGCACTCACAAGCACAAGGCACTCACAAGCACAAGGCATTTACAAGCACAGGCACAGACACTCACTCACTCGCTCACTCACTTACAAGCACTGACACACTCCCAAGAACATGCGCCCACTCATTAACTGAGAACCTTGCTCACTGACTTACTGGGTTCCAGTGGGGTAGGTGCAGAACAACGGGGTTGAGCGTCCTGTTCCCGATGTGGTTGTCGAAGGTGATGTTGTTGGCGTTGTATGTGACGTCAGTGACTAAGTACGCACCGTTGCAGGCATGACTGGCCATACTGCAGACACAGAAGTAGGGTAGAAGGCAGGTACTATACAACATTAGGTAGGCCACCCGAACAGATCTACCCCTGGAGGCAGGAGCGAGGGGGTGGGGATAGGGGGAAGCCGTCATGTTGAAGATGCGGGTTCGATTATCCTCATGGCTATATTATGTGAACATTGTAATATTTACCTAAAATATATTTGCGGAATATTGCAAGCTGGGCATGCCCTTGACTATAGCACCCTGACATCTCAATATCCACTCATAGCAGACCACCTACCCAAGGAACCACCCTACCGCTACAGATAGAAGAGTGTGAAGCTAATACAATCCACCTACCCACGGGGCTTCAGATGGAACTGTGTGAAGCGAATACAATTAACCCATCAACTCACGAGATCAGCCTACAGCCGCAGATGGAACAGTGTGAAGCGAATACAACCCAGGGGACACCCTACCACCGCAGATGGAACAGTGTGAAGCGAATACAACCCAGGGGACACCCTACCGCCGCAGATGGAACAGTGTCAAGGGAATACAACCCAGGGGACACCCTACCGCCGCAGATGGAACAATGTGAAGCGAATACAACCCAGGGGACACCCTACCGCCGCAGATGGAACAGTGTGAAGCGAATACAACCCAGGGGACACCCTACCGCCGCAGATGGAACAGTGTGAAGCGAATTCAACCCAGGGGACACCCTACCGCCGCAGATAGAACGGTGTGAAGCGAATACAACCCAGGGGAAACCCTGCCACCGCAGATGTAACAATGTGAAGCAAATACAACCCAGGGGACACCCTACCGCCGCAGATGGAACAGTGTCAAGGGAATACAACCCAGGGGACACCCTACCGCCGCAGATGGAACAATGTGAAGCGAATACAACCCAGGGGACACGCTACAGCCGCAGATGGAACAGTGTGAAGCGAATACAACCCAGGGGACACCCTACCGCCGCAGATGGAACAGTGTGAAGCAAATACAACCCAGGGGACACCCTACCGCCGCAGATGGAACAGTGTGAAGCGAATACAACCCAGGGGACACCCTACCACCGCAGATGGAACAGTGTCAAGGGAATACAACCCAGGGGACACCCTACCGCCGCAGATGGAACAGTGTCAAGGGAATACAACCCAGGGGACACCCTACCGCCGCAGATGGAACAGTGTCAAGGGAATGCAACCCAAGGGACGCCCTACCACCGCAGATGGAACAGTGTGAAGCAAATACAACCCAGGGGACACCCTACCGCCGCAGATGGAACAGTGTGAAGCGAATACAACCCAGGGGACACCCTACCGCCGCAGATGGAACAGTGTCAAGGGAATACAACATAGGGGACACCCTACCGCCGCAGATGGAACAGTGTCAAGGGAATACAACATAGGGGACACCCTACAGCCGCAGATGGAACAGTGTGAAGCGAATACAACCCAGGGGACACGCTACCACCGCAGATGTAACAATGTGAAGCGAAAACAACCCAGGGGACACCCTACCGCCGCAGATGGAACAGTGTGAAGCAAATACAACCAAGGGGACACCCTACCGCCGCAGATGGAACAGTGTGAAGCAAATACAACCCAGGGGACATCCTACCACCACAGATGGAACAGTGTGAAGCGAATACAACCCAGGGGACACCCTACCGCCGCAGATGGAACAGTGTGAAGCAAATACAACCCAGGGGACACCCTACCGCCGCAGATGTAACAATGTGAAGCGAAAACAACCCAGGGGACACCCTACCGCCGCAGATGGAACAGTGTGAAGCAAATACAACCCAGGGGACACCCTACCGCCGCAGATGGAACAGTGTGAAGCAAATACAACCCAGGGGACACCCTACCGCCGCAGATGGAACAGTGTGAAGCGAATACAACCCAGGGGACACCCTACCGCCGCAGATGGAACAGTGTCAAGGGAATACAACATAGGGGACACCCTACCGCCGCAGATGGAACAGTGTCAAGGGAATACAACCCAGGGGACACCCTACAGTCGCAGATGGAACAGTGTGAAGCGAATACAACCCAGGGGACACGCTACCACCGCAGATGTAACAATGTGAAGCGAAAACAACCCAGGGGACACCCTACCGCCGCAGATGGAACAGTGTGAAGCAAATACAACCAAGGGGACACCCTACCGCCGCAGATGGAACAGTGTGAAGCAAATACAACCCAGGGGACACCCTACCACCGCAGATGGAACAGTGTCAAGCGAATACAACCCAGGGGACACCCTACCGCCGCAGATGGAACAGTGTCAAGGGAATACAACCCAGGGGACAACCTACCGCCGCAGATGGAACAGTGTCAAGGGAATGCAACCCAAGGGACGCCCTACCACCGCAGATGGAACAGTGTGAAGCAAATACAACCCAGGGGACACCCTACCGCCGCAGATGGAACAGTGTGAAGCGAATACAACCCAGGGGACACCCTACCGCCGCAGATGGAACAGTGTCAAGGGAATACAACATAGGGGACACCCTACCGCCGCAGATGGAACAGTGTCAAGGGAATACAACATAGGGGACACCCTACAGCCGCAGATGGAACAGTGTGAAGCGAATACAACCCAGGGGACACGCTACCACCGCAGATGTAACAATGTGAAGCGAAAACAACCCAGGGGACACCCTACCGCCGCAGATGGAACAGTGTGAAGCAAATACAACCCAGGGGACACCCTACCGCCGCAGATGGAACAGTGTGAAGCAAATACAACCCAGGGGACACCCTACCACCGCAGATGGAACAGTGTGAAGCGAATACAACCCAGGGGACACCCTACCGCCGCAGATGGAACAGTGTGAAGCAAATACAACCCAGGGGACACCCTACCGCCGCAGATGTAACAATGTGAAGCGAAAACAACCCAGGGGACACCCTACCGCCGCAGATGGAACAGTGTGAAGCAAATACAACCCAGGGGACACCCTACCGCCGCAGATGGAACAGTGTGAAGCAAATACAACCCAGGGGACACCCTACCGCCGCAGATGGAACAGTGTCAAGGGAATACAACATAGGGGACACCCTACAGCCGCAGATGGAACAGTGTGAAGCGAATACAACCCAGGGGACACGCTACCACCGCAGATGTAACAATGTGAAGCGAAAACAACCCAGGGGACACCCTACCGCCGCAGATGGAACAGTGTGAAGCAAATACAACCAAGGGGACACCCTACCGCCGCAGATGGAACAGTGTGAAGCAAATACAACCCAGGGGACACCCTACCACCGCAGATGGAACAGTGTGAAGCGAAAACAACCCAGGGGACACCCTACCGCCGCAGATGGAACAGTGTGAAGCGAATACAACCCAGGGGACACGCTACCACCGCAGATGTAACAATGTGAAGCGAAAACAACCCAGGGGACACCCTACCGCCGCAGATGGAACAGTGTGAAGCGAAAACAACCCAGGGGACACGCTACCACCGCAGATGGAACAGTGTGAAGCAAATACAACCCAGGGGACACCCTACCGCCGCAGATGTAACAATGTGAAGCAAATACAACCCAGGGGACACCCTACCGCCGCAGATGGAACAGTGTGAAGCAAATACAACCAAGGGGACACCCTACCGCCGCAGATTGAACAGTGTGAAGCAAATACAACCCAGGGGACACCCTACCACCGCAGATGGAACAGTGTGAAGCGAAAACAACCCAGGGGACACCCTACCACCGCAGATGGAACAGTGTGAAGCAAATACAACCCAGGGGACACCCTACCACCGCAGATGGAACAGTGTGAAGCAAATACAACCCAGGGGACACCCTACCACCGCAGATGGAACAGTGTGAAGCGAAAACAACCCAGGGGACACCCTACCACCGCAGATGGAACAGTGTGAAGCAAATACAACCAAGGGGACACCCTACCGCCGCAGATGGAACAGTGTGAAGCAAATACAACCCAGGGGACACCCTACCGCCGCAGATGGAACAGTGTGAAGCGAAAACAACCCAGGGGACACCCTACCACCGCAGATGGAACAGTCTGAAGCAAATACAACCCAGGGGACACCCTACCACCGCAGATGGAACAGTGTGAAGCGAATACAACCCAGGGGACACCCTACCGCCGCAGATGGAACAGTGTGAAGCAAATACAACCCAGGGGACACCCTACCGCCGCAGATGTAACAATGTGAAGCGAAAACAACCCAGGGGACACCCTACCGCCGCAGATGGAACAGTGTGAAGCAAATACAAACAAGGGGACACCCTACCGCCGCAGATGGAACAGTGTGAAGCGAATTCAACCCAGGGGACACCCTACCGCCGCAGATGGAACAGTGTGAAGCAAATACAACCCAGGGGACACCCTACCGCCGCAGATGGAACAGTGTGAAGCGAAAACAACCCAGGGGACACCCTACCACCGCAGATGGAACAGTCTGAGGCAAATACAACCCAGGGGACACCCTACCACCGCAGATGGAACAGTGTGAAGCGAATACAACCCAGGGGACACCCTACCGCCGCAGATGGAACAGTGTGAAGCAAATACAACCCAGGGGACACCCTACCGCCGCAGATGGAACAGTGTGAAGCGAATTCAACCCAGGGGACACCCTACCGCCGCAGATGGAACAGTGTGAAGCAAATACAACCCAGGGGACACCCTACCGCCGCAGATGGAACAGTGTCAAGGGAATACAACCCAGGGGACACCCTACCACCGCAGATGGAACAGTGTGAAGCGAAAACAACCCAGGGGACACCCTACCACCGCAGATGGAACAGTGTGAAGCAAATACAACCCAGGGGACACCCTACCACCGCAGATGGAACACTGTGAAGCGAATACAACCCAGGGGACACCCTACCGCCGCAGATGGAACAGTGTGAAGCAAATACAACCAAGGGGACACCCTACCGCCGCAGATGGAACAGTGTGAAGCAAATACAACCCAGGGGACACTCTACCGCCGCAGATGGAACAGTGTGAAGCGAAAACAACCCAGGGGACACCCTACCACCGCAGATGGATCAGTCTGAAGCAAATACAACCCAGGGGACACCCTACCACCGCAGATGGAACAGTGTGAAGCGAATACAACCCAGGGGACACCCTACCGCCGCAGATGGAACAGTGTGGAGCAATTCAACCCAGGGGACACCCTACCGCCGCAGATGGAACAATGTGAAGCGAAAACAACCCAGGGGACACCCTACCGCCGCAGATGGAACAGTGTGAAGCAAATACAACCCAGGGGACACCCTACCGCCGCAGATGGAACAGTGTGAAGCGAAGTCAACCCAGGGGACACCCTACCGCCGCAGATGGAACAGTGTGAAGCAAATACAACCCAGGGGACACCCTACCGCCGCAGATGGAACAGTGTCAAGGGAATACAACCCAGGGGACACCCTACCACTGCAGATGGAACAGTGTGAAGCGAATACAACATAGGGGACACCCTACCGCCGCAGATGGAAGGGAATAGGTATACAACCCACCCACCTAGCCACAGGTCCCAAGATGGAACAGTGTGAAGGGTAGAACTCACCTGCCAAGACAGAGGACGAATTGTGTGTCGCACTGGTCTGGACACACGTGGCCGAAGACGGGATGTTGGTTCTCATCGCAGCATCGGTTATCGGTGGTCACTCCTTTGACGTTGATGTAGTTGCGGAAATGCAGATACACGTCCACGCTGCCCAGACCTTCCTGGGGACAAAATGTTCTTGTTTATACGTTTAGCTGAGTCATTGTGTTACCAAAACCATCAGCTTTGTGTCGTTGGGATCGCGCGAAGGTCGTTTAACGCCACAGTAGGCAATTTTCCAGCTTTATGGCGGTGACCTGTAGATAATCGTGTCTGGGTAAGGCAAACCAATGGCTGAAAATGTGAACAACGACCCACTCCACTGAGACATTAACGATAGCATGCCATAAGCCACGTCACAGGGTCTGATGCAAATTGGTCTCATATTATAAGCAAAAGGGTACTGGGACAAACCCGGGTCCTGAAAGAATAACAAGCAACAGAGCATTGGAGTCGTATTGAAACCCGTGTCCACCCTGGGTGATAAGCCCACAGTATTGAAAACCTATTCAAACCCGTCTCAACGCGGGGTGACAAGTAGCAGAGTATTGGAGACCTATTCAAACCCGGGTCCCCACGGGATGACAAGCCTACAGTATTAGAGACCTATTCAAACCTGGGTCCCCACGGGATGACAAGTGGCAAGGTATTGGAGACCTATTCAGACCCGGGTCCCCGTGGGATGACAAGCCTTACAGTATTGGCGACCTATTCAAACCCGGGTCCCCACGGGATGACAAGCCTACAGTATTGGAGACCTATTCAAACCCGGGTCCCCCCAGAATGAAAAGCAAGAGAGTACTGGGATATATTTAAACCCGGGTCAATGATACAATGACATGCACCAACCAAGTCAGCGAGCCAGACCACCCGATCCCGTTAGTAGCCTCTTACGACAAGTATAGTCACCTTTTCACGGCAAGCATGGGTTGCTGGAGACCTATTCTAACCCGGATCTTCACAGGTCCCTCGACGTGCCGAAGTTTGGTGTAACTCGTGGTATAATTCGATGCAACAGTGCATATTAACAAGTTGTTATTCATCCATTTCCTTGGGTTAGCCAACCAGTGGTTGATAACAGGAGAAGCGGTTCCCGTCGACACAGCTGGGACACACATCGGCGTGAAAAGCGGCGTAAAATCACACTCACTCACTGAGACCACGCACCGCACTTAGTCGACTACTACGACAAGCATCGGATACTTGAGACCTGCTCTAGTCCAGCTTTGGAAAATGTGGTCTATTGGCCTTTATAGCTCTCATCGTTTAACAATGTCAATTACTATTTCACACAAAATGTCTCAATTAACAGCCTTACCTGAACGAAAAATAGACTTGATAGAAGCAGTAGACCTACAAGGCCACAAAGTGGTACACCTGCCCGCATTTTGGACGCTGTCAACACAAGCCTGTATGGTCAGGTGAGTAGTGTAGATATGTGGCGGCGGTTACTGTTATTGTGTGATAACAACGATATCAGTGATAACGATGATAAAATGATAGGAATTAGGTCGATATGTGTGTTGCAATCCTTGTACTTACCAGCCCTCTTGACAATATTTCAGTTATGTCTTGACATGGGCTGAAGTGTTTGTTTGTTTGTTTGTTTGTTGTTTAACGCCGCACTCAGCAATATTCCAGCTATATGACGGCGGTCTGTAAATAATCGATTCTGGACCAGACAATCCAGTGATTGATATCATGAGGATCGATCCACGCAATTGGGATCGATGACATGCATCAACCAAGTCAGCGAGCCTGCCCACCCGATCCCGTTAGTCGCCTTTTACGACAAGCATAGTCGCCTTTTACGGCAAGCATGGGTTGCTGAAGACCTATTCTATGCCAGAATGGGCTGAAGTGATGCTGGTCTTTGACGCTTACTACTTTACAAGTCAGTTATCATAATAAGGGTCAATCAGGGATTCGAACCCGTGATTACAGGCCTTGCACAATTCTAACTTTACTATCTCAGCCTGTACTTAAGAGCTCAGTCACACATTCAGGATTTTTACTGCCGTCCTTGATAGGGCAATTCCCGATTAAAGTCTGATCAAGATCCTGTGATTCGTGGCGGGAAATTCACAAACAATCAGATATTGTTCAGGAAGCGTCCCGAATCAGCCGTTTCAAGCCGAATTCGCCCCGATTCTCCCGTTCTCAATCCGAATCTGATCCAAATGTATTTTCCGCATGGTAAAAAACGACCGAATCTGTCCCGACAGCGTCCCGATTCTCCCGAATGCGATCCTACAGAGATCAGACAGTGACCGGACAGTGAACCGACAAACGGCCTTAATGGAGTCAGCGCCTGATAAAGCCATATGACACATGTATAATGACCGTCAGTCAAACCTCACAACATCCGATACTGGTGATCTGTTCTGATCCGCAATCCGACCGTGATTGTTCATAACAATGAGGGTGCTTGGTCTTTTTCAAAATTTGTAAGATATTTCGTGCCTATGAATTTCAAAAAGCAAATATTTCTTTTCCTTGTTTTAGAGTTAAGGTAGAGAGTTTGCAACCTTAATTAATCCTAATATTGCTTTTGTAGACATTTAAAAACGAAAAAGGCAAATTACAAGTCACTACTGTTACATGTTGTGAAGTAAGGGTTTTTTTAAAATTGTCATTTGAACTGGGCTTTTTTAGTGATAATATCATTTTCTGTGAAGAGTTGTACACAGAAAAGTCAAAAGAAACCAAATTGAAGAAAATATAAAAAAAATGATGGTAAGCTTTGGCTTGTCAATTTACATTTTGATAAAATTTTAAGTTATGACACCAGTCTTCTTGTACTAAAACATTGTTTGTTCTGGCAGATTTTTTCAGAACATACAATTACATGTTTATTTATTAGATAATAACAGATAAAACAAATAACAAATAGAAAATAATAAATATTTACTATAATTTAGGCCGATAACAGTAGTGACATTACATGTAACAGTAGTGACAAGCATGACAGTAGTGACGTTTTGATGAAACAGGAAATTTAATATGACTTCCACATTCCATCTTTAGACGTAACAAACAATGTTATCAAACACAAACCCATCATATCAACTGAATAAGCTTTAATTTGAATGCAAAACCTGCCTCACTCAATTGGAGAAAAAATGTCTACCAATCTTTCAGTTCAAGTCAAATTTGTAAAACTAAAAGAGATATGATTTAAACACGTATTAAAATTTAAGTAACACTAAGTTACAACATATTCTTTCAGATTTTACAATCCCTAGTCACTACTGTTACAATTCAGTGTCACCACAGTTACATGTGCACTTCGAGTAAAACTGTTGGTAATTCAATGAAATCGGTATCATTTATTGTGAAACAGTTTTTACTGAGAAATGCACTTTGAAAGTAATTCTCTGCAATTGTAAAACTTAATCCCCCAAAACATTTTCTTACAACATTAAATCAGTTGTCACTACTGTTACATTTTGTGTCCCCACTGTTACAAAACAACTAAAACGTATGAGATGAACACTTATGTCAATCAGTTCAAACAAATCTGTCAAGCAATGTCAAACTTACATATATTATTGTTTCAAAACAGCTAAGAAAATTGGCTAACACTTTTATTTATGCACTTTAGTCAAGATTTGTTACAATCGCTAAATCTCTAGTCACTACTGTTACAATTAAGTGTCCCTACTGTTACAAGTATTTAAAATACTCATTACTGTTGCAATCACAGATGTGATTCTGCTAATTTTGAAAACAAATTAATAAAACTTAATTGAAACAAAGTATATTAGTTTGAGTGGTTATGTAAGTAAAGCAGAATCTGTATTGAGATTCATTTCAGTCTCAACTGTTACTATCCTTCGTCACTACTGTTACCATCCTTCGTCACTACTGTTACCATCCTTCGTCACTACTGTTACCATCCTTCGTCACTACTGTTACCGTCCTTCGTCACTACTGTTACTATCCTTCGTCACTACTGTTACCATCCTTCGTCACTACTGTTACCGTCCTTCGTCACTACTGTTACATATACTTGCCGTGTTGTCTGTTTTCTGGCCATGCATGTCAGCATTTTTCAGAACTTTCAAGCAAAATCATTGTATTCATTATGATAATTATCTGTACAAACAGGTATGAATTATTCTTTCAATTTTCCTACAGAATACTAGTTCAACTGACGACATGTCCTCACTGTTACAATTTCTGTCACCATTGTTACATTATAACACGGGCGGTCGGGTAGCCTAGTGGTTAAAGCGTTCGTTCGTCACGCCGAAGACCCGGGTTCGATTCCCGGCATGGGTACAATGTATGAAGCCCATTTTGGTGTCCCCGCCGTGATATTGCTGGAATATTGCTAAAAGCGACGTCAAACCATACTCACTCACTACATTATAACACAAATGACATTGTAACAGTAGTGACAATAACATTAGTGACAAATCACTGAACTTTCATTTCTAAAATAATGATCGGTCCCTTAGGATCAAAACACTCATGCTTCCCAAACTATGCACAACATGGAAAACCAGTACACATATGCACACAACAAATTATATGACATAAGTTTCTTTCAAGCCCAGTAACAATAGTGACATTACAAAACATGAGATATGAAAAACGACTCACCTTATGTGTTGTAATTTATTTATTTCTGCAGTCTCCAAAAACACAGGTGCAGCCATGTTGACATCCAAAAAGCAAGGCTTTGGAACAGAAAGTAGTTTAAGCAGTCAGCTAAGGAGACGCCATTTATTCGCACTAAATTTATTTAGTTCTCATAACAGTAGTGACATGTAACCTTGTGACAAGCATAAAAAAGGAAATAAATCAAATATTTTTCATTCAAAAATATTTTGATAATTTGTTGTACTTAAAATAGGATCATCTTTATAGATATGCAAAAAATGTCTGACAAAAAATAATTTTGGATTAAAATCGAATATCATGAAGTTGGGCCATCTGGCTTGTGGCAAGCCAACGTGGGCAAAATTTGACCCTTCAAAGTCATTCTTTGGCGCTTAACTATAATTTATAGCTATGTTTTATATGGTAGTATGTGCAGACATATATAAGATGCAATTTAAGATTTAAACACATTTTTAGAATAACCTAATTTATGAGATACTAACATATAACAGAAAATCTTACAAATTTTGGAGGTTGCTCGATGAATACCTGTACTGACGTCTGTGTCACACACCTGGAAACCCAGAATAAGACATGCCGGACATCAAGGAGGGAAATACAAATTGTTTAGCTGCATCAACAGTCTGCAGGGATCCTCATCGTGAAACTGAGTCAGTGAGTTGGGTTTAACGCCGCTTTTCGCTGTGCAGAGTTGCGTCCCTTGGGCACGCCAGAAACCTATGATTGTGGGTTCGAATCCCGGTTCGCCCCGATTATGTTTCTAGGTTTGTCAGCACCATACCCGTGCTCGTGGATTTCACCGAAGTTGTAAACGTCTGAGACCTGTATCACTTCGGGCTTTCCTCACATTAAGCTGACACGCCGCGATATATCTGGAATACTGTCAAAAGCGGCGTTGAACCCAACTCACTCAATCACTCACTCGCCTGGGTGGGACATAATAAAAAACAAATCATTAAAGTAAATGTGTATGACGTACAATTATGCTCTTTAATATACAACAAATATGTGTTCGTATTATATTTGCAATGTAGTTAGTTCATTTTCTCCAAACAGCAACGACCCTTGTTTTTCAGGGAACTAAGTTGTAGGGGACACGGGTGGCCCAGTCGTCTAAGGCGCCGCGATTCGTTGTGCAGAGTTGCGTCCCTTGGGCACGCCAGAAACCTTTGATTGTGGGTTCGAATCCCGGTTCGACCCGATTATGTTTCTAGGTTTGTCAGCACCATACCCGTGCTCGTGGATGTCACCGAAGTTGTAAACGTCTGAGACCTGCATCACTTCGGGCTTTCCTCCCACATTAAGCTGACATGCCGCGATATAACTGGAATACTGTTAAAGGCGGCGTTAAACCCAACTCACTCACTCACTAAGTTCCAAATAATGCAACGAGTGCACCCAGACGGAATCGGCCCGGGAATTTCACATTTTACTAGTGCCGACAAAAGCGTAAAAGCATTGTTTGACATGCTAGTCTGGCGTAATTATTCAATGTAAGATTTTACCCGTGAAGATCCGGATTAGAATGGGTCTTCAACAACCCAGGTGACATGGTTCATGCATGTCATCGTATCCCGATTGCATAGATCGATGCCAATGAAGCAAATCACTGGATTGTCTTGTCCAGATGCGATTATTTACGGACTGCTGTCATATAGCTCGAATATCGGTAAGGGCAGTGTTAAACAACAAACAGACAAACGATGTGATGTAGTGTATTCAGTGGATGATGCATGTCATCGTATCCCAATTGTGTAGACGATGCTCATAATGTCTGTCCCTGAGTACGGCGTTAAACATCAAACAAAACCACAAACAAGCTAAGATTTGATTATAAATTCAGCTTTGATGTGGTGAATGTATTACATGTTATGTAATATGCACATGGCACCGCAGCAAGACGGGAATGATCATTTGCACATCGGTCGGAGCAATGTTTTTGTGAGTATATAAACTATGATCAATTATTTTTAAAACCCAAATTTTATTAATATTTCTAATTCAAATTTTCAGATTACAATATCTAAATTGGTTGACAATGATCAAACAGTTTGATAGCTCAGGAATAATACTGGTCATATTAATGGTTATAAACTACAATTTTTTACATTATTTATAAATACTTTTGCGATGTTGTTTTATGTATATAATGTTCTTGAAAAAATATCGATGAAATACTTTGGTTAAACTACGTTGTGGGCCTATAGAAAGATAATGGGTTTTTTTAATTTCAGGTCCTTTGTCGACCAAATTCATTTTATCACACATTGTGATGAAATACATTGTAAATTAAACCTCTAACTGGATCAGTCTTCTTTATATTTCAGAGAAGAATACTTCAGAAAAATATATTGAAAGTAATTACAATAATCCATGATAAATATTTGTGATATATGATATATGTTGTCATGTTTCAAATTTATTGTGTGCATAGATCACCTGTGTGTATGTGTGTTCGTGTACTACCATGTGTGTTCGGGTAACTACCATAGTATGCATGCATACAATTATTTTTCTAGGTTTGTCAGAACCATACCCGTGCTTTTGGGTTTCACCGAAGTGGTAAACGTCTTAGACTTGCATCACTTCGGGCTTTCCTCCCACATTAAGTTGACACGCCGTGATATAACTGGAATAATGTAAAAAGCGGTGTTAAACCCAATTCACCCACTCACAATTCTTCTTCATAATGACCTTCTACTACCGGTTGAAGGTCCAAAGATCATGGTGCACAGAGTAGGTACATTTAACACCACACCCTTCATCCAAAGATTTTCAACAGGGCTAAAGGTGGAAGAGCAGGTATGCGTATGCCCTGTTGCTTAACAAGAGCACAGGCCACAGTTCAATGGTGTGAATGACCATTATCATCCTGAAAGATTGGCAACTTCTTTATCAACACATAGTCCTCACTATGTGTCCTCGTGGGGTACCACAATGGGGTCCAATAACATCTCTCTGAAGCTGCGTGGTGATATTCCCAACAACTGTGTCCTTGTTATAGCTGCAAATTGCTACAGCAGCATTGCAAAAACATTCATGGCCGCATCAGTAAACACAGCTACGGACACTAAAAGAGGTAGAATGGCCAAACTGACGACCATTGACATTGATTCCAACGGTGATGACCTTGGAAGCAAGCAAACAAGCTTGTCTATGAGGTAGCGTAAATAACGGACGAAATGCTGGACGTCGAGAAGGGAGACCAGCAGAACACAAACTGCTTCCTTTGGAGTTTTTGCCAGAGCAACTTTTGTAGCATGAATGTGCTATCTTCGATTGACTTGACCTCGGAAACGTATTAGGCAGGATAACAGTGTGAGTGAGTGAGTATGGTTTTACACCGCTTTTAGCAATATTCCAGCAATATCACGATGGGGGCACACCAGAAATTGGCTTCACACATTGTACCCATGTCAGGAATCGAACCTTAATTCAGCTTGACGAGCGAACGCTTTAACCACTAGGCTACCTGACCGCCCCTGCAGGACAACAAGGTTAACAAGGCATCTATCCTGTCTCTATGTTGTAACCCAATGACGACCACGTCTTTGACCAAGTCTTTGACCAAATGCAACAGTTCCAGTAGTTTGGTACTGCTGTCAATGTCATCCAAATATGTGATGTTAAACGTGCTTGCAACTGACATGACAGTTCATCAAACAGATTTTCCAGATATACTGAATATAGAAAGTGAATACATTGTCAACATGTTTATTAACGAAACAGGTGTCCTTAACGTCTCTATTCCACACAAGACTGTACAACAAATACACACTGGTACAAATAGCCTCATTAGCTGAGTACGAACAGTATTCACAGATTGTTTTCATCACAAATGAAGGATTGCAGAGCGTCATTAGAGTCAGTATCATCAAATATTTAACTGAGATTCTGCTTTACACAGACTGTGACCAATGGAATTGTTTCTCCCATCATCACATTCCAATGATTACCCAACATGACATACAATGAAAACGCATATTCAACTTTAACTTGAGGACAAGCAAACGATTTTAGCAGTAAATATTTACAAAGAATGATGACGGTGTGACAAAATGACATTGTTGTTTTTGATAATCTAAAGTCCAAAGACACATAATACCTTAATCACTTTTGTTACCATTTTGTAAAATAGTAAAAGAAATGGGAATATGTGTTTTCAAAGTGTTTCAGAAAATAATCATTGCAAGAGAGTGCATATCTTCACTCTTTTGTGACTGACCAACACTTGAGCAAAACATATAGATAACACAGGATCAACTACTTCCAAGGATATTTGCCACATCTATATATGTACAAAATATTACATGTAATATTTGTGGAAAATAATAAATAATATTGCAGAAAGATAATCAGATTCAGTTAAAGAACATTTGCTGGAAGGGAAATGCAGCTTCTACACAAGTGGCCTGTATGCAAGGTGCTTGCTGCAGTAGCTGCAGTGCAGTGGTGCACTTGGTGGGTCAGCCGCTCTACTGGAGGACCTTCCTGTCTGTTGGATCTGAAACAGCCACAACACTCAGTTACACCCAACACTATATCCCCTATATTAAATGTACTGAGCAATACGATACATTCCAAATAAATGATTTGCTAGAGACAAAAGTCCTTTGGATATTTTCGTGATTTTAGCAAATTATTACAAGATATGCTATTTATACCATCACCGGAATTAATAAATATATTCAGGACATTTTGGATGACAAAAAGACAATGTCCTAGAACTGATCTGAAAGGATGAGTTGTTATGATTACTATTTCATGCAATGATACCATATGAACTAGTTATTACCAAGATTACACATCATTAGAAAGTGCAAAGAGACCTTCATTAAAGTCATCTTTCACATGATCCATGGTGGCCATTTTGCCAGGAATTCAGAGTGAATACGTACAGTTACAATAGAACAAGGGGCTGATGATAATAACTGTATCACATGCATTTCAACACTACTACACATGACAACATATGATATATAGTATGATTGTCTTTCTAAAGCATGCACCGATAACATCACAGATACAACATTCAAGTACACAATTATTAATATGGATACATTTTCAATGTCTGTTTGAATATGAAGAATCTTTTTACTTGTTAATAATTTAAAACACCAAAATAATCATAAATGTATCTGACATAAAATTAACTTCAGAAGGATTCCTACTTTCAAAAATCTGTTAAAAAATGGCTCTCATTACACGTTCACAATAATTATTCCACACAAAGTCCAGAAAGAACAAGGCACTGAGTTAGACCCACAAAAATACATTTATGGTTTCACCTGACTTTTACACAAACAATAAATATTTCATAATATAAAACAGTTAGACACAATGAAACACCACTCTCCACCTGCCCACACCTGCTTCACTGGAAACACCGGGCGGTCGGGTAGCCTCATGGTTAAAGCATTAGCTCGTCACGCCGAAGACCTGAGTTCGATTCTCGACATGGGTACAATGTGTGAAGCCCATTTCTGGTGTCCCCCGCCGAGATATTGCTGAAATATTGCTAAAGGCCGCATAAAACCATAAAACTCACTCACTCACTGGAAACACTCAAAATCTAGTGAGTGAGTATGGTTTTACACCGCCTTAAGCAATATTTCAGCAATATCATGGTGGGGACACCAGAAATGGGTTTCACACATTGTACCCATGTGGAAATCAAACCCGGGTCTTCAGCGTGATGAACGAACACTTTAAAAACATCTAGTAATGTGCATTGGTTTGTACATGTGTTATGAGTTAGTATTGACATGCATCAAGTTGTTAAAACAGTGAGAAACCAAGCCCTTTCACAGAGTGGCTTAGGCAACTCTTTCTTTATTTTTGGTTTAAGGAACTGACCTAACAAACCCTTACATCTATTTTCCTTTTCCCAACACTCTGGTTCTGATGGCTAGAGAATCAAAAATATATACACTGTAACCACACAAAAAATGTAGTGAAAGTTTCAGATGATCATTGCGAAAACTTCTGATGTAAAACCTCACGTACATGTTTCTGTATTAATATTGAACATCCTGCACTGTAAACAGAATAAGCACTTAGCTTTGCCCACAGAACCTACTGCCCCAAATAACTTTATAGATAATAAACAAGAATTAGAAAAAGATATTTTATCTTAATTTCTGCTTCAATATACCGAAGCAAAATGGTTAGGCAAAAAATCTGTTTAAGCCTTAAAATAAAGAAAGTGTGTCCCTTCTGCTACATCTACTGTATGTAATAATACAGTAGTGCACAGGTCAGTTTGTGAAGGTCCCTCGACAACAGTTAGTGCCCCCACTCACCATCAGGTTAGAGCAAAGAAATGCTGTGGATTAGAATAGTTCAGGCACACTTTCATTTAATGCATGTTACTCTAAGTCGATGACAAATGTAATGTATTAGAGATGGGTTGCCTTTCATCCAGACTGATCAAACCTCACAGTATTATTCTAACAGAGAGTGAGTTGGGCTTAACACCGCTTTGAACAGTATTCTAGTTACAGGTTAATGTGGGAGGAAAGCCCAAAATGATGCAGGTCTCAGACGTTTACCACTTTGGTGAAACCCATGAGCACGGGTATGGTGCTGACAAACCTAGAAACATGATGAGGAACTGGGATTCAAACCCATGATCCAAGGTTTCTGACATGCCCAAAGGACGCAACTCTGCACAGCAAACTGCGGCACCTTAGACAACTGGGCCACCTGTGCCCTCCCTCACAGGACATTTTACCCAGGGCCGGGCAGGAAATGAAGCCATGAGCCACTTTAGTGATAAAGGATGCATCCCACAATCAGGCCTTACTTCATGAACTGAGGGAGTTCTATGTTTGGATGAAAGGTTTGCCAGGAACAATGTATCAATATACATCAATATATTAGAAAGATATGGTGAGTACAAATAAATCAGGTTAGTAGCACTACGATGCACATAATAGAAAGAAAATAATAAAACTAAGAAGAAGAAGAACAAAATCTCCCAATAAATTGCGGGTGAAACTGAAAAAGTGTAGTTCCTGTCATAGGTTTGCCAGAAATATGTCTTGTCAGCAACAAATTACAGTCTACATTCATAATCATAGACATGGGCTTAATATTGGAGTCCTATGGGTGAGTCATTGATCTTCTCTTCTAGATTTTTTGAATGTGTATTTTGAATCCATAAAACTTTCATAGGTGGATTCAGAGGGGGATCAGACCCCCCTCCCCCTTTGAAAACTAAATGAAGTATGTTGTAGACAATCTTCCCCCTCCCCCTGAGACTAGAGAGAGGATTTTGATATTTTGGACCCCCTCCCTTGCAAAAATGCTGATTCAGCCCTTGATATATAGCCCTATTTTCTTGCAAGGACCCTTGTTTTCGGTCTAAATTTCGAAAATTGAACTTGCATATACATGATATATATAGTAAGTCTCAATAAGTGATTACTTCTGAAAATATATAGTCGTATTCCAGCTACATTGTCTACATGGATACCTATGACAGAAAGGTGTTGATATGTTAGTGCAATAAGTAGGTCAGCAGAACTTACAGGAAAACAGAAGCCTAAGACAGAAAGTATGTCTACAACTAGTTAATGCCATGAGTATGCTAATCATCCTCGATTATCAAGTGTACCTTATCTCCATTCCATTGTAATAACACTTGGACCCGTTTGCTATATATAGATTTGTTTCTGAAGGTCGTCACCACCTCCATCGCTCTTATCTTTACCTTAGCACAAAACTTTACGCTCATGATTGATATGACAAGACGGATATTATTTAGTGTTGAAACCAAGCTAGGGTGGCAAATAGGTCCATATTTATATTAATATAATGGAGATATAATGCACTGGATGGGTTAGCACTGACTTATAACAAATGAAGTGACCTACCACTCAACAATCACACAATCTTCATGTTAACACCTTGGGAAACACAAACAATCATAGAATGCACTGTTATGGTACATGCTGTATGCATGATGATGCATTATGGACATCAGTGTAAATATAAACAAAATAAGGAGAACAGAAAGATAATAAGGAGAATAGAAACAAAGTAAGAAAGGCAGGCAGCAAAGGCATTGGACAAGTATATAACATTAAACACATGATAACAGTGTAACATGAATCCCCCACTCAGAGACATTATACTGACTCCAAGCCGACCAGTCCTAGTTTTAGCCCCTAAACGCCGAGCGCCAGACAGGGCAACAACAAGTAGTATGACGCTGACGTAGATTGAACCCCCGACCTTCTGCTCTCGGAGCAGATGCTCCACCACTTGTCCACAGAGGCGAACTGATCTTTATGTCATGCACAGACACTGGTATAACCGTTCATATGGACATTTCAAATTTAATAAGAACACAAGACTGACATTATGTGCATCGATCCATGTAACTGGGATACGATGACATGCCATCAACCAAGTCAGCGAGCCTGACCACCCGATCTGGTTAGTCGCCTCTTACGACAAGCAGAGTCGCCATTTACGGCAAGCATGGGTTGCTGAAGACCTATTCTACCCCGGATATTCACAGGTAAAAAAAACAGACTTGAAGTCTAGATCATGTGACACTGTGCAGCTCGCCACAACCAACACTGGCATAAAGGGAACAAAAAGGGGAAGTAACTCATGAAGAAAGCAGGAAGGCTTGTCGGGTCTGCACAACTGGTCTAAGGGAATGCAATAACCACACTACAGTGGAGTACAGAGTTGAAGTCGCTCTTGTTGAAAGCAGAAGGGGATGAAGAGATTGAACAACTGTTCAGAGAGCATGTGATCAAAGGGCAGAAAACCAACCAGCACATCTAGTTCAACCATGGTGCAAGTTGTCTGAAGGAGCAACAGTCAGGTCATTACGAGGGTTGAGGAAAGAAATGACATCCATTACCACATGTAAGGAATGTGGTTGTAAGAGAAGAGCTATGATTGTGTCGGCCGACGGGGCAAGACATTCCTAGGAAGGAACAGAGTTAAACAGCTACATTTGTCATACTGTAGACAACAGGACTACAAAGACTACAAAGAAAGATGGGACTGGTAAACATAATAATAAACATATCAATATCAAAACAAATCATTTATGACCTGATCTACATGCTTTTGAGTAAAACTATGCAACTATCCCTAACATGCTTAATGTCAAGTATGATTAGTTTGTAAAATGTTTAAACAATGTGAAGGTCATTATTAAATTTATATAAATGAATATATATATTACTCAACTTTTGATAGGGATATTCAGGGTTAGAAACTAACAGTTTTTGTATCAGTATCTTACATACACATATCCTAAACTGATCATTGTGGTACGATAGGAATATCCCTACTAAAAGTTGAGCAGCAGTCTGTGACGTGAGCCATCGGTCCAAAGTCTGAATCTATTATATTTCATCATACTCAGTTTTCTCAGTTAATAATAGTCCAAATATCATTAACACTCAAATGTAGTTTTTCTTATGAAAATGATCTCGCAAAAGCAGTCGGGACTAGTACAAGTAAACTCAAATGCTTGTTGCCACAGACTGGAGAGAGGTATGGCAGTTTAACATATGAACTGTTGAAGATTGTGTAACGCTCTGATTGTTGCCACTACCGTACATACCATGTTTTTGTCTTCGGTTTGAGGTCTTCTATGATAGCTTGGATCACCTCTGTGGTTGTAGCCTGTCCGCCAACATCAGGTGTTTGTGTCTGGGGAGAATACACAGAAACAAGTATACAACACCATGTTATCATATCATTATAAACCTATCACTGTATTACCCTACATCGCATTAGGTTCCTGACAACCTGGGGTAAACCTAGTAACCAGCTCGTCTTCCACACCTAGGTTTTGAAATGGGTCACTCATGAACCTGCTTTGAGGTCTGACATAAAGTAATATTTCAATAGTAATACCTAGGCTTTTTTTTCTCTCTCACAAACTTTGATCCATTTTCTTTTATACCGCAACATGCTGTATTGTTTCACTATAAGGTATCTCAATGTTTTCTTATTTTTTTCTGGTATTTTTTGCATTTAGGCAGTTCTTAAGTTTCTTCTATCTTATAATACGAAGCAGCTGAGTGGAAAAGTAGAACCAAACACATGATGGTAGCACAAAGTAGTCTAATCATTGTTCAATGTGCTTTACGGAAGAGAGGAAATTCTCCTTTTGAGGCGGTCCCTATCACTAATGGCATTTACATGTTGGTGGCCATGACAGTTTCTGTATGGATGCTACCTTCTTTGTGGGCAACACCGTCATTCACCTCCTGAATGGATAAGGATTATCGAGATATATGGTGTTTTACACCAATAGTGCCCGTCTTTGTTATTAATGCTGCAATCAGTAATATTACAGAGTCTAGGCTAGACAATCCAGTGATTAATATAAGCAACAATCCACACTATCAGGGTATGTTGACACAAATGAACCAAGTCTGCGAGCCTGACCACCAGATCATCTCTTATGGACAGCACACCCGTTGCAAGGAACCTATTCTAACACCACCAATCTTTCAAATGAAAAACTTAAAATAATGTACAACCTTTTCCGAAAATGTTTCCTTACACACTGTTTGAAGTGAAACTCATCACCATAACAGTGTATATAATATGTCATCATTTTCTTGGATCAATGTATTCAAGTGAAAGTCGATACAACATTATTTACCATAATTAGAGAGAAGGCTGATGGTACTGGTACATCTACTAGACTGTCATTGACTGTCAAAATGATAGTAGTGTTGTTGATTAGGTACATCAATGAGGCTAGACAACGATGCAATTACGTTGTGTATAACATTGTTGGCATTGTGATGAGTGAGTGAGTTCAAATTAAACGTCACATTGGCAATATTTCTGCCATGTCAAGATGACGGCCCTGTGATGTGTACCCTACAAGTTTCATATATCACCCCATATAACAAGCCTGTACCTCATGCTTTCCTAGCACATCCATGGTGGACTCTCTGATGAGTGTGGCATGGCGATGATGACTGAAACAGAATGTATATCACGTCAGCAGGGATACAAACCTGAAACATCCAGGAGCTGGGGTGGGATGATGTATAAGAACAACCTGAAAAGCCTGAACTGCTGCTAGCCAACTGGATGCTATTAATATCAGACAAATATAGTGAGTGAGTGAGTTGGGTTTAACGCCGCTTTAAACATTATTCCAGTTATATCACAGCGTGTCAGCTTAATATCGGAGGAAAGCCCGAAGTGATGCAGGTCTCAGACGTTTACCACTTCGGTGATACCCACGAGCACGGGTATGGTGCCGACAAACCTAGAAACATAATTGGGGTGATTCGGGATTCGAACCCACAATCATAGGTTTCTGGCGTGCCCAAGGGACGCAACTCTGCACAGCGAATCGCAGCGCCTTAGACGACTGGGCCACCAGTGCCCCCTCAGACAAATATACCTCGAGATAGTGGGCCAGTGCCAATTTGTATACTTGCTGCAGTATTCTGTCGGTGAATAAATACTGTTATGAGCAGTAGAAACTGTTGTACATTTATTTGCATTGATTGTCAGCAGCAGCAAATGATTGAAGTGCTTGTAAAATGTTAAGAGCTGTTGATTGCGCCAAGTGGAATTTTAGAGTTACTGCCCTTGCATACATGACCATGGCAAGCTTGATAATTTGTGAAGTTTTGGGATGGGACAGTTTCTAGAAGGCTGGCTGTAACTATATAAGAGTGATATGAGGGCGATTCAAGGCCTTTTTCAACCTGACTTGTGTCTTACCTACCTGCCAAATGCAGATTATAAACCTATTTGTTAACATCTATTCCTGCCATCTTCCAACACTATTCAGGATTCAAGAATGGAGACAGGACAATTTCATGACTTTTGACATTGACAAAATTCAAATCTCATTAAAATAAAATTTTAGTTCTCACTACCGCTAAACAAAGATGTAAGGACATCACATTACGGGTCACGTCGGAACGGCCTTTCATCTGATCAATCACAGCGTAACTTACCAGATCAGGACAGTGACAGTCGGAATGTCTTTTCTAATCATGCAACCTCGAAAAGGTTAACACAGGGTACTCCAGTTGAAGGCTGTAGGACCGATTCTGTCAAAATGATTGTCTATTTCTCGCTTCAATGGGATAAACATTTGAGATGGAAGAGACTTCGTAATCAGGAATGGAAGTCTTTAGTTTTAAACTAGTACCGTAATGCTTGAGAAAGCTGCTTTCTGTTTGGCTAATGTCTTCTTGTCATGCATTTCACAACACAAAGATTTAGGACTACTTGCTTCTTATTAGTGGAATCTCTTGACAAACATGGGGCACAAGGGTATCCTGCTCTGAAATCTCCTCATGGAGGATTCTCAAGAAATCACTGGTAAAACATACACTCTTTTTTCTCTAACACTATTTAAATATACTGACAGAAGAAATAGCACTTTGTGTACCTCATGTTCGGTCCCATTCTTTCTAGAGACTCCAATTCTAATGGAAGATCTGTTAAAATTGACAGAGCTACCACCCTTCTATTCACAGTGTTTGACACAAACACTGGTCAGCTGCACCGAGTCTAGAATATTTCCTTAAGGACCAGGACCCCGGTCCACAAAGCGATCTTAGCGCTATGACTGTCGTAAGTCAGTGTTAAAGAAAGGGAGTTACGATCGACTTAGCGCTAAGATCGCTTTCTGGAACAGGGCCCTGTACAACTCAATAAATGCCGGTCCTGTGGTCTAGTGTTATTTTGGGGATTCACAAAGTAATCTAAGTTTGTACTACTTTTGAAATCAGCGATAGATCGACTCTAAACTCTAAGCAACACCAGCAGCCTTAACAACCCTGCATGGTACAGTGGTCACCTTCGTGACTGGTTTCTCTCTCTAATTACCCACGCTAACATGTTGTATGAACATGATAAAGTATCTGCGAATTAAAACCCTTTTTCAGACAAATTTTGGTCAGGGTCAAACACAGATTCCCACTGCTGCCTGTAGAGACACCTACCCCAGATAGTCGAGCATGTCACAACTGGCCAGAAGCATGCCCGTCGGGTTGGCGATGTTCTTGCCCTTCAAGGTGCGGCCAGAGTTTCGGGTTCCCTGCAAAGACAAAGGTGAATCAATGTTATTTGTCAAAACTAAGATAGACATGGTCATTTATTACTTGCCCGTGAAGAGATCACCTGTTTAATAAAGATACAGCTGTATTACACATTGTGTTATACCAAAATGCGTGCTTATGTATTCTCGGAACACGTTTCATGAACAAATATTGAAAGCTCTCAACATCCCTTGGCTTATTCAACGACATTGCGTGTGGGGATGATAGAGGAGCTTATGCACACAACCTTGTTGCTAGGCTGACGTCACATGGCATTGTTTCACCGATGGATCTTGCATCAAAATTCCACAAACAACGTCATCGGGTATTGTGACGTGATTGTAAACTTTGAGGTGCAAGGCCCGTTCCACAAGGCGATCGTATTGTAGCGCAACGACTGTCGTTAGTCTAAGTTGAAGTAAGAGTTGCATAACCTTAGTGCTATGATAATTTTTGTGGAACGGACACCTGAATACTAAAGGTGGGCCGTTGTATGGTATTAAATTCATACTTTTGACGTGTTTGAAGTATTATTCTGTTAAACTCTATTGGATTATGCCGTGGATTGTGTAGGTGTCAGCCTATTCACACTCAACAGTATAATTCTAAAAATGTTATTAATGGCAAGTAATAAATAAAATACTAAACTCTCGTGTCTGAACTATTCACTCGTTTCATAAAATTGGTATCACACAGGAGCTCATTTAGTATTCTATATTTATACAACTGCCATAGGACACATATTTTGACCATCTTGACTATTGTGATCACAGAAGGAATAGCAGACTGTGATATTAATTTTACTATTAAGATTATGATTTGTTGATATATCATCTCAGATAAACAAAACTTCATGTCTCCAACACATTGCTTATTTAGTTTTCACTATTTGATGACACTTAAGCCAGAGTCGATATGCACTGTTGGCTCCCAACATGAAAGCATGAGAAAATTACTCCAAAATGTTGATTGTTTGTTGTTTAACACCGCACTCAGCAATATTCCAGCTATATGACGGTGGTCTGTAAATAATCGAGTATGGACCAGACAATTCAATGATTGACATCATAAACATTTATCCACGTAGTTGGGATACGATGACATGCATCAACCAATTTAAAGAGTCTGACCACCCTATCCAGTTAGTCGTCGTCCGGATTTTCACTGGGCTTCAACAAGTTGAGGTGATCGTGACCAATATTGACATACCCCACCAGCTCCACAAACCCAGTTCTGATAGTCACGTGATTCCAGCCAATACACAGAAGTAGGAAGTTATTCCAGGAGCGATTAAGTCGGATTAGAGTTGAACTTCGTAAGGCAGAAAAACCAAGTTACTCAGGTAATACCGGGTAAGTAATTACGGTTTCAGTGAAACGCATATGTACCAGCGATCATAATACTCAGCTGATCCTGTCACAGCTAAGGGACACAACTCTTCAGTTAATTCAAGTCCACACGGCCACCAGTTCCCCGAAATTTATAAGGAAACAGTAATTGAGAGTCAAGGTGCTGCAACATTAGCATCAAAACTGAATGGACAACATAGGCCTGCATAGTCCTGTGTACGGTTACTGTGCCAAATAGGGAACAAACACATATTACCAGCTGACCATCAGATACAAAAACATTTTTTTAAAAACATACAACATATTTTGTTTAGCCATGTTAACTTGACTTACTGTTTCAAAGACAGCATATTTTTCTCCTATGTTCATGCCAGGCACAACCCCTGCCCCGCCCACTAGTCCGGAGGCGATGCTGCCCAAGATGTTGCCGTACAAGTTGGGCATGACGAGGACATCGAACTGCTGCGGCCGAGACACCATCTAGTGGGCAGGGAGCAACACACATTAACTACTGGCAATCAGAAGGATACAAAATCATGTTAATGTGAAACATATATTTCTTTAAGCATGTTAAGATTTTGGTTTGGTTTGGTTTGTTTGTTCAACACCGCAACCAGCAATATTCCAGCTATATGACGGCGGTCTGTAAATAATCGAGTCTGGACCAGACAATCCAGTGATTGACATCATGAGCATCGATCTACACAATTGGGATCGATGACATGCATCAAACCAAGTCAGCGAGCCTGACCACCCGATCCCGTTAGTTGCCTTTTACGACAAGCATAGTTGCTTTTTACGGCAAGCATGGGTTGCTGACTACCTATTCTACCCCGGATCTTCACGGGGAATTTCTTTAAGATGCAGTATCACATTCAAATATAATTTCAGTGACAAACATTCAAGACTCCCTCCCTAAAATTCAAGGCCAATCAAATTTTAAAAATCAGTACACCTTCCACCATTTGCCTGTGGTACACTCTGGGCCCTTTTCTTCTTGAAGTTTGTTACAGATGCAGGCTTACAGGGTTCTAAAGGGGGTAGCCTAGATTAACATTTAGTCTATGAAATCTTATATTACACAATATCCTTCTTGACTCTAAAAATAAAAAAATAATTTTCCCGATGCTGATGTGGAATAGAGCTAGCTAGAGCTGGCTAGACTTGCTTTTGTATACGTTTCTAGATTGTGTTCTTTTTCATAAAATAAATAAATTCCACAGTCATGGTGCAGGACTGGTGGCAGCCAATTACTGGAAGGAAGCTAACTATGGACACTGGCTATTAATAGATAGTATACAAATAGCTTTCTCCATAGGTTTAAAAGATTTTAAAAGCATATAGACTCTATTTATTTCTGAGAACTTTACATTAGAAAATGAGAAAATACAAGGAGTTCACAAGGCCCATTATCTATTTTAAAGGCCTATTAAACATCTCAATTCAATGGCTTTTTTCAACATGCCTCAAACTGCAAGGCCACGTAAGACCATGTGAACAATGAGTGTTTCTGCAATGCATTTTGTATGAGGAGACCTATCACTTCACAGCCGAAATATTCAGGTTTACGTGTTTGTTGTTTTAGGGAGGGAGAACAAAAATATTGTTTGAGAGTGAAATAATTCTGATATATATAGTATGATAAAGAACAAGAACACTGATATACATAACAAAACCAAAAGTTTCTCTTGAGGAATTTAAGAATGTAGGAATAAATAATATCAGGATATAAGTCTCATCTGCAAAACATTTATTCAATCAATGAATTTGTCATATGCAACTGAAAAATATCTCATTGTGTTAGATACAGCTATTTGATCAAAACTGTCCAAACATTTTATACAGTATACATACATTGATACAACTGAAATTAATTTCTAAACCTATAACCCATATATCATTAAAAATATTTTGATAATACATATTGTTTTCAATAAGTGTTCCCTTATCTTGCTAGTTACCTGCATGCTTGCGTTGTCAATAATCATGTCACCAAACTCAATATCAGGATACGACTTGGCCACATTACGGCAGCACTCGAGAAATAAGCCATCACCCAGCTTCCTGAAATATGAAAATGTTTTTGTCAATCACTGATGCACCACAGGAAACATCAGACATACAAGCAAATCCATGACACGATCGTCTTCACAGAATGATAAATCCTTTTTTGTGTTGACCTTTCAGATGACTGTCAAAAATTGTTTGCCAAAATCCTAATTTAAAATCTCAGGAAACATGTTAAGAGGGTCAAAAGTTTAAAAGTCTGCAGCTTAATATATCAAGAGCACAGCTAATCTCTAACTCTGCAGAGAGTGAACCTTTCTGTCAATCCAAGAGGTATGTTAAGTAAAGGTTTGATTCTAAATATCTATCAATATTATTCTTTTTTACAATACTATGCTAGTTGTAAATCCCTGTGAATATTGTGCCTGGAGTTTGTGTTTACGACTCACATGATGTTGGCCTTGTGGATCGCTGTGACCTTCCTGCGGCCATGTTTGACGGCAAAGTCGAAGGCATACTTGGCTATACGGCTGGATTTCTCCTCTGTGATGATCTTCAGACTTTCCACCACACCAGGTACGTTCTGACAAAGAAGCCCTTCAGTCATTCTCATGTTTCTACACATGGTTTACAATCTGTATACTTTTGAATGAAGGAAAAGGGATCAAATCTAGTTTTTGTGATTTATACTGGAGTCTGAGATAGCACTAAACCAACAGTCTCCCCAACAGTCCCAGTATCAACATAAGGACTCATGACAAACATCTTATCACAGTGAGCTATTTCTACTCCTGGATATCATTAATGTGAGGGATGGTGCCACACAGGGACTTGGGTTGGAATAGGTCTCTAGACCTTCTTGCCTGTGCGCCGCCATTTGTTTGACGCAAATGCACGTGATATGAGAGGTGGAATCTGATTGGTCAGTAGGAGAGACATAAAAGGTACATAACTTGTAATAGCCACTGCAGGAGCTACGATCAAGCCCAGAAATTCCAACCTAGTTCGGCAAGGGTGGAAACTGGACTTCTACAGTCTGGTAACTCCCTTGCCTCATCACCTAAGATGCTGCATCACCAACATGCTACATTCATAGCCGGATGTAGGATGTGTCTACAAGCACTTATTTCACCTTATATTAAAATACTAGCTTCTGATTGGTTAAGGAGAGGGCAATTATTTTCCATGTAGCCAGCGCATGTAACCCTTTGAGAAATCAATCAAAACACAAGAGTTACTTGCATATCTCAAACAAGTATCGTTGAGTTGAAATTAACCGATGTTTCTGCTAAAGCATTGGGTAAAGGGAAGTAACTCTGTTCGTTTGTGTCGTCTGTTACAAATTTTGCTAACTCAGTCAAACTGCGGGCATATATTCTGGACCTGTATGAATGAATGTCGGTAAGATAAATTCATTGTCATCCAATCTGGAGGCGTATATGGTGTAATGTACCCTGTGTGGGAGCCTGACAGCTCAGGGTACATAGGCTCACACACAGGGTACATCGGCTCACACACAGGGTACATCGGCTCACACACAGGCTACATCACACCATATACGCCTCGAGATCAGATGACAACTTATAATGTACTGGGTAGCAGATGACGCCTGACAGCAAGCAGACTGACCTCATGCTCGAGTGAGGTATACTCCCCCTCTGTGTTTTCTCGGATGAGGATGATGTCGAGGTTGTCATGACGAGAGGAGAAGCCAGGGATGCTCTTACACCAGACAATGCTGGCAAACAGGTTCAGCTTGGTTCTACAACAGGTGGTGGTGCAGTGAAGATTGATTTTAAACCAGCAAACACCAAAATGGGCATCACATATTATACCTATCTCATGTTTATTTCATGTGGTGGTGGAAAGAAGATTGATTTTAAACCAGCAAACACCAAAATGGGCATCACATATTATACCCATCTCATGTTACTGTCAATAGATTTTCTTTCAGTGTTAGAAATAGGCACTAGTCCCCTAGTCCTTGCAAAACTGCCCAATAGTTAAGGTATCATAAGGAAAAGTAGAAATTTTCCATTGTTAAGGGTTTTGCTATATGTTATCATTATAAGAACTAGTGGACTAAAAATGTCAGTTTCTACCGCTGTGTTGTGTAACGCAACCGTCAGCAATATTCCAGCTATACCACAGTGACCTGTAAATAATCAAATCTGGCATAGGAAAACCTGTGGTTGATGACAGGTTAAATTTCCATGCAGTGAATATTGTGAAAAAATAAAATACTTGAACAAAGGCAAATATTCTGATAAAGACATCTAAAAATGTAGGTTTAATACACAAAACATACTTACTATTGGAGCTTATACAATACTAACCTTAGAGCAACATTCATTGAAGAAAATGTTGGATCATCAAATTTTGTCTCAATATTGCCTGAAAACATGAAAAAAATGAAACATTATGTAATGTAATGTAATACATTTTGAATAATATCACATATATCATGAGACATCAAGAACCAAGTCCAACTTTTAATTAGCTTCTAAGGATTCAAACAGCTATACAATTACCTAATTACATAATTACTATATGTCATACTGAATTACGTATACCTTTAATGGCCACCCCATTTCTCTGTACTGATAGTAGGGCCCCCTGCATGTGTTCCAACTCAGTGGTAGTAGCATTGATCTCCACAATCTCAAAGTCTATGGGGGCACCTGCATATCTGTAAGTAGATAGTGCATCATCATCATCATCATCCTCATCATCATCATCATCAATGTATTCATCATCATCATCATCAACATCATCATCATCTTCATGATGTCATCATCATCATCATCATCATCCTCATCATGTCCGTATTACGTCTGGTGTAACACATTGACTAAAGTGATTAGGACTACTTGTGGCTACAGAACAACTGTTAAACAAGAATCAACCTCAGTATTGTGGACCCAATCTTCCTGAGGCAAGAGAGTTAACCGACTACAGAATTCCCTTGCAGAACTAGGTCGGAGTTATGGAGTAATATTTTGGCTGGACTAACGAGTTCAATCAAAATCGCGTAACAAAATCGTCATCCGGTTCATAAAGTGCCGTGAAGATTTCGATCAACTGCAAGAGTTGCAAGGCATGTGTACCGCCAACTCGGCGTCAACAGATATTTTCCAAATCTTTTCACGTTTTTAATCAAGGTAATTACAGGACATTTTGCACTTGGCGAAGTAAGAACCGTGTTATTATTTGGATTATTATATTTGTTATAATATGGATTTTGATTATCAATAAGATCGTCTTGACTGGGTACCACATTGAAGCAAATGCAAGTCATATGAAAGGTCGAATCTGATTGGTCAATAGCAGGGACAAAACTCGTAATAACCACCAGTGGCGCTTTGACCGAGCCCAGAAATTCCAGCCTAGTTCCGCAAGGATGGAAACTGGACTTTTATAGACAGTTAACTCTGTTGCCTGGGGAAGATGCATGGACCCCAAGTTATGTAAGATAAGGTAAAACCCTGCCTGTCAGTATACACATTACATGAACAACACATTTTCTCTTTGCAACACTATTTGATATCATTCAAGTGACAAAATAACAAAATAACCATCTACAATTTGCCTGAAAGTGGCACCCGTGGTTGATGTGGACGCTGACTGCTCACCTGAAGACATCCCTCACATGGCCCAGTAGCTCCGGCCCACACCCATCCCCAGTCAGCAGCGTCACAGTATGGCGCCCACCATATCGAGCTAGAGACTCAAACTGAAATAACACCACACATCACTTCACCTCTTCTCTCATCTGTAGAAAAATTACCAAAACAATACCATTTCCAATACTTTTCATGGCTTGTATAGGTTAGTTATTGAACGCCACTATGACTGAAATATGCTTTTATGACATAAAATCAAACGTCTGCAACTTTAGCCACTGTCTGAAGCCTGTGTCGTGTAAACTTAGTTTACAATAGTCCGCATAATAAAGACCAATATTAACTGAAAATTATGGTGAGAGCAAGTAGACTCAAAACTTTCAACAATTACTGCCAAGACCAAGTGTTTCTGATTGGTCTTTATTCTAGGAGACTCACTTCTATCTAAAATGTCCAATAGAGTATTGTCAAAACTAGTAAAAATATTAAAGAATGTCTTTGATCACATTCAAAAATAAATAAAGTTATGAAAATGTTCTAGAATTTCTTAAATCCAATTGTCTCCAGCAAAAGCTTTGCAAGACCAGTCAAGTGTATAAATACCATTATAACTGATTAACACTGCTCCACTCATGCATTGCAACTTAGTGTGCAATCCTGGAAAACGGAACTCCCATAATGTGTAATTACTTCAGCCAAGAAGCCTAGCTCTAGTTAAGATCCCATAGGACTATAGGTAATAATATACCAGTAGTACCGTATCTTCTTGTGTATAGAATGTCCTGAAAATTGGCACTATTATAACATGGAATTACTTCAGCCAAGGAATCTAGCTCTAGTTAAAGATCCCATTGGACTATAGGTAATAATATACCAGTAGTACCGTATCTTATTGTGTATAGAATGTCCTGAAAAATGGCACTAATATAACATGGAATTACTTCAGCCAAGGAACCTAGCTCTAGTTAAAGATCCCATGGGACTATAGGTAATAATATACCACTAGTACCGTATCTTCTTGTGTATATAATGTCCTGAAAAATGGCACTAATATAACGTGGAATTACTTCAGCCAAGAAGCCTAGCTGAAGTTAAAAAATACCATAGAACTATAGGTAGTAATAATTTAGTATGGGTACCAGTGTGTGCACACTATGAATTTTTATTATTTTTCAACACAAAGACATTTCCATGATTACTTTGGCCTGATAAGACCTGAAATAGCATGTTAATAGATAAACAAAGATGTACTTAAGTTAGTCCTGTTATTACACTATCTGGTTACAATAAGTGAACATTGTCCATCTGGATTTACGTTTAATTTGTAGTTTGTAATATTAATTACATGGTCTGCATAACCCCCTTTATTTCTAATCCTGGATAATTACAACTTGCCCACTCCCTAATTTGTTCAGCCCCAGATGTAAACAGCAGTTTAGGGTTCTACCTGTGTACTAGTGGCAGTTGTCACATAATTCCTGTCTGTGTTTCCATAGTGTGCACTTGCAACCTTTCCAACTGAGACCTGAAAAAGAAATATTCACTTAAATACAACTAACCATATTAAGTTCATATTAGTTTAAGGATGTCTACAGTATGTGTACTGTTTGCAGGTATTTATGATAGATGATATAATTAAACTTTACAATCTTAAAAAGGAGTGAGTGAGTGAGTTGGATTTAACACTGCTTTGAACAGTATTCCAGTTATGTCATGGCGTGTCAGCATGATGCTGGAGGAAAGCCCGAAGTGATGCAGGTCTCAAATGAAAAACAGACAAAACCCAAGAAACATAGAAACATACTCAGAGCGAACTGGGATTCGAACCCACAATTGTAAGTTTCTGTGCAACAGCGAATTGTGGCACCTAAGATGACTGGGCCACCAGTGCACTCTTTAAAAATGAGGATAGTCCACATTCTATTGAGTTACCCCCATTACTAAACTGCGATACTAATTTTAAACTGTTGCTGTAGAGGCCTATAGGGAAATTACACACAGTTTTGCATAGCAATTAAAAATTATTATTATCATTTTTTCTTTGTTTTCACCAAGTATGGATTAAATGTTCATCTAGAAGAAAACATCAATATTTATACAAGATAGTGTGCTGTAGGAAATGGATAAACAAAATACACATTTACGTATTTCCTCCAATTTCTAACAGGCAGCAACATTTGATTGATGACATCATAATGGGCTTAGATGTCACGAAACAAAGGTTATAAAGTGTTATACAGTGACATCATTATTTAATGTACTTTTGCTGTAAGCAATAAGTGACCTGTTTTGTTTGACATATACGTGTTTGATCTTGCCTGCATCACTATTTCATTTTTCACGTAATTCAATTGGCTAAAATGGTTATAAATTGGAACTAATATACATATATTATTTTTTCGGTTCATTAATTTTCATTATTACACACAAGAATGCAGTTTATTAGGGATATTATATTGGCGCTGAACACATCCAAATATAGCTAGTATTAGGGTAGGTTACCCCGAACTCTATCCTTAGCCCTTTTATCCCCTTTTGTGTCGAATACTTTGGCTACTGGAAACTGTCCTGGAACATTTCACCGGCTACATTTTTTCAGTACTGATTCAAAAGCGAACTCACTGTTGTGTCGTCACTCATGCACATGCCTCCCTCGTTCCTTACTATTATCCACATCATCCTAACAGTGTTCCCCACCACACTTTTCTGTCACAAAATCCACCCGACGAATTATTAAATACCATATCATTCATGCGTACTCGCGAATTCGCCTGGAGCCTGGAGCCGTTTTCAGTTCGCACCATATCCGATCATTCCTCGCCACTCGGTATCTTGTAGATTACGGAATGGGATGAGTGTGCTAAAGGGCATCGGGATCATTCGTAAGTGTCCGTAGACTAAAGTCACAAGACACCATGCCTACCCGTAACCTTCGCAAGTGCCTGTCACCTATTCGACCCTTTTCGTTCAGTTCCATAATGTCGTAGGCATGACTAGGTAAATTTGCACTTTGTTTTACAGTGTGGACGTAGCTCAGTCGGTTAGCTGTCGGGCTAACAATCCGAAGGTCACGAGTTCGCGTCCGACGGATTCTCACAAAAACTGGTTGCTTGCCTTTGAGACATGTGACCTACGTAGAGACCGTCCTCACGAGAAGTTGTGGTACTGTATTCTAAAGGTGCACAGTAAAGACAAACTCAAACCAGCATCCTAACAATAAACAAACAGACTCAAGAGAGGGGACGGCATTATTAATTTGCAGAGAAAGAAACTTGCACTAGCCTGGGCCAGTTTGTTAAAGGCATCATCAGGGCAAGTAGAATTTAAACACTTTGGGGGTTATTGCTATGCCTATATGTTATCACTATTTGGACTACTAGAGCTTCTTGGTTATATTCTACGCCGAGTTTTTCTGTCAGAGTCCACATAATTTGTAAGCCATCAATTCACAATTCAGTTGTCTATTGAGAGCACTGGATAGAAACATAATTTATGCACCACCCCACTCACCCTTCACCCTCCCCCCTCCACACACACACACACACACACACACACACTCACACACACTCACTCACAAACACACAGAAGTCTGTTGAAGTGAAGATTGAAAAATATCAAATCTGATAGTCCCTTCAAAACCTGGTAATCTCATTGGTTTACACGATAGCCTTCACTAAAGAGCTTCGGAATCCTATTCGAATGCTATCTCACCTGAGACAGACGTGAAAAAGCATTGTTTTGTTTCAACAGAGCAGAAAGCAGACGCTTCGTGGGGGCCGCCATTGTAGTGACCTTGACCAACAAGGTTGCGTTTTGTAAATTAAGGAACGGGATTTCTTCTGAATTTGGAATTATTCATCGATATTCTTTTACTGTTAACATCGACGCAGGCTTGGAACGATTGATAACTTACAAGTGTAATAAAATATATTTTAGAAACAGGAATGCATCGATTTGTAAATAAGTTCTCAATGTATATTTCGAGTGCGTTTGAGAAGAAAATACATATAGCATCAAAGGCAACGTGCACTATGAATAATATTTTAAAATTATATTCGGATAATTTTTTTCATGCAATAGGAACTCTATATCCGAATCCACTCGGAAACTTCGGAGCAAGTTTGATTTAACTTGTTAGTCATTCACGCCTCACTGTGGCGTCACGTACAGTGTTGCACGTTCACATTTGACACTAATTAGTCTCGGTCGTAACTGGAATTGGACGTCGGGACGCATTAGGTATATATTGAAAGTGTTGAATGTCTTGTGCTCGTCTCCCCAGTTTTGTGAGTAGGTCCTGTGTATTAGCCCCAAAGCCTTGTGGGCCTTTAATTGCCTGATTGCGACGAATTAACAAGTAAATTAACAAACCGACGAGTAACGTGTTGTGGCGATGGCCAGACAGTCACCTTAATTGTAACATCTCACTGTGCGCGAAATACGCATATGTCGGAAAGCTGGCACGTTAAATTCCCAATTTAAGTAAGTAAGTAAGTAACATTTATAAATTAACCAGCTCTAGATAAAGCATGCTTAATGGTGACAACCAATGCACAGTCTACGTTTTGTATACGACCATACGTACGAATGCATGTGTTTGTATTGCCACTGGTGTGTGTATACATGATTGTGTTGCAGAGTGACCTAACAGCGATCGGTTTATTTAAGGTATGTATATTTTATTAATTACATTTTCCGGACACTTTACGAATGTACTTTGTTGAGTGACACATCATTAAGGAAATCTAGATTATTTCACTTGTAAAGTTTGATCGCTGGATTTTACTTGTAGTAGACTAGACTCCTTTTTGATTAATTAATTTGTTTATTTAATTTATAACCGATTGAAGACGTTTTGTCTCATGCTATTCTTCGTCTTGAATCTGAGCTAAATTCCCCGTCGACATACATGCTGACGTGTATTTCACTTACATGATCCATGATTCAGAATTTAATTAAAAATTAGATTTTACTTTTGAAGTGATTAGCTCGAAACGGTCATATCGTTTCAGACATACAGATGCTCATGTCTCAAATTATGCAGACAAGTCCAATTTTCTCACTCAATAAAACTATACGTTAGATTATGTATGTGCTCATTTCTTGCATAAATAAATCTGTGTAAGTAATGTTACGATGAAATGGGAGTCTGTTACGTATCGAGAGCATTACTGTATATAGATTGGTGACGCAACGCCCATTGAGGGATACTCACCTGGAGCGTTCAATAGCGGTGATTAGTTCCCCTAACGGCAACTTGGGGCCAGCAGGTTTTAAGCCCATTTTATCCAGCATAATGGATCGTTAACCAGCTGTTAACCACATGTGGTTGATAACATTATAACGGGAAATATGCATAGTGCATAATCCATATAGTGGATTGTTGTGTTGCATGTATTTCTGTTGTCAAGTGGAGTAATGTAAATTTAAGTTTTCAAGTCCGCATCCGTTTCCTCTCCGAGCACAGTTTTACAGAAAACCGGTAACTTGAGGGGTTGGGCACCGGGAGTCATGCATGAGAAGGACGATAATATTATGTCGGGTTGAAATCAACAATATGTCAACACGATGTGAGTCTCGCTGCATCCCTATATTCTCACTGCATAATTGTTAACAATGCTTATGTTTTGTTATATTCCTCCGAGTTGTAATTGAATTAGTCTAGAGGAGGAAATCCGTCACTGGAGCGTCTGTTGATTTGTGTACAGTGGGTGGGTGAGTCATGCTCTCTCGCGTGGTGTGGATTTTAATGTAGCATGTGATTTTGATGTTGTCTGTGGTGAATTTACTAACTTATACCTTGCATTATCAGCCTTGATGGAATGAACACTATTTAGTGACAATATTCTGAAATCGTGTAGAGTATACAGTGATTGTGAAATCCAGTTATCAACTGTTGATACAGATGTATAAAAATATCAAGGTCCTGTCTCCTGTTTCTGAAGGTAATTGTGTTTACATGAATAATCAATTAAATCAGTTAAATAGCAACAACTCACACACACTTATCTAATATTGATCTAATATTAATAATAAATTCAAAGTCAGTGCTCGTACAAAATTTATTGGGGATGTATTAAGAAAACGTACACATGGTATTGCTTTGGCGATTAGGGCTAGGACAAGTCCAAATTTAATACTCAGGTACCCAACCCCCTATTATCTGACCCGACCTGCATACCTGCTGTAGGTCTCAAAGAGTTGGGTACAAAATGTCTGATTGGGAATTGTTTTACCGGACCCCTTGCAAAAAGTATTCAGATATACATATGAAACAATCTGGGCCCACTTGCACAAAACGATCTTAGCGCTAAGACTATTGTAAGCCTATGTTAATGTATGGGAGTTAAGATCATCTTAGCGCTAAGATTGCTTTGTGCAAGTGTGCCCAGGTCAGGCATACTCAGAAATTGACTGAAACTTTATCTTTACACAAAGATATAAAAGTCAGAAAGATATGCAAACTTGTAGGTAACCATGGAGTTATAGTTGTGTACTTTTCTCACTACACAACATATCACAAGAGTAACAACAGGTCCGGGTAGTCCTGTGGGTACCGGGTCCTACTCTGTACCCACCCAACCAGAGTTCCCGAGCGAGTTATCCGTCCCAGCCCTGTTGGTAATGTTTCGATGTTGATTCTTACACCATTCTGAAGATGGGATGAGTATGACCATTATCCATATCCTTACTGTACATCTGGCTTCATCCAGCTATCTATGTGCTATTTGTTATCAATAACCTGTTGTTACTGTTATCTGCCATCACAACTTATCCTGTATATAAACCTCTCCTCACTTTCTTGTACTCATCCAATCTCAAGAACAGTGTAGAATCTACTTAGAATCATCTCCAATGCAATAAACCAGAAGTTAAATTGTTATCCATAAAATTGTTCTTTCTCTTATTTACACACCAACTAGAAGGGGCGGTGGGGTAGTCTAGTGGTTAAAGCGCTCCCTCGTCACGCTGAAGACATGAGTTCATGAGTACAATGAGTGAAGCCCATTTCTGGTGTCCCCCACCGTGGTATTGCTGGAATAGTGCTAAAAGTGGCATAAAACCATACTCACTCACTTACCAACTAGAATGCCAGTCAAACAGTTGATGATGTATAAGACAAGTTATGTTTTCGCACTTCTTGCAGAAACGTAGAAGAATCAGTACCATATCTGCCACATTGTAATGGACCTGGATAACACAAGTATTGCACGATGGAGAACGAAGATGTAGCAACGTGACACAGAAGGACACTATCCAGATCTCTGCATCCCGAGAGCACTATGACACACAAGTATGTATTGGCAGCAATCAAGAAGAAGGATGTGGACAAGTTCTTCCAGCTGATTGATCTCCCGGGCTATGATGTCAACACATCGGCAAAGGGTGACACGCCTCTCATTTTGGCAGCCAAATCAGGTATAGTCTACAGCCAGTATGTCTGTACAGTTTTCTTAAATGTTTGAAAACAGTGTAGTGCTTCAGATTCCATGTGGCTGGTGTCATGGGTAATATGTGTATGCAGTGTTAGACCAAAGGGGGTATTTGAGGTTTGTCGCTATAGTATTTTAATTTGGGGATCCCCTAATGTTTTAATTCTAGCTTAGAGTGATGACAAGTACACCTAGGCTTATGCCAAATACATGCTTAATTTATAACACTACTTAGCACCACTAGTGATATGATGAAGCTGGAACTGTTGTTCATGAATCTCTCCCCATCTTGTAATGAATCTCTCCCCATCTTGTAGGACTGTGTCACTGTCTCTCTCCCCATGTTGTTTGACTGTGTGACTCACTCTCTCCCCATGTTGTAGGACTGTGTGACTCACTCTCTCCCAATGTTGTAGGACTGTGTGACTCACTCTCTCCCCATGTTGTAGGACTGTGTGACTCACTCTCTTCCCATGTTGTAGGACTGTGTGACTCACTCTCTCCCCATGTTGTAGGACTGTGTGACTCACTCTCTCCCCATGTTGTAGGACTGTGTGACTCACTCTCTCCCCATGTTGTAGGACTGTGTGACTCACTCTCTCCCCATGTTGCAGGACTGTGTGACTCACTCTCTCCCCATGTTGTAGGACTGTGTGACTCACTCTCTCCTCATGTTGTAGGACTGTGTGACTCACTCTCTCCCCATGTTGTAGGACTGTGTGACTCACTCTCTCCCCATGTTGTAGGACTGTGTGACTCACTCTCTCCCCATGTTGTAGGACTGTGTCAGTATCTCTCTCCCCATGTTGTAGGACTGTGTGACTCACTCTCTCCCCATGTTGTAGGACTGTGTGACTCACTCTCTCCCTATGTTGTAGGACTGTGTGACTCACTCTCTCCCCATGTTGTAGGACTGTGTGACTCACTCTCTCCCCATGTTGTAGGACTGTGTGACTCACTCTCTCCCCATGTTGTAGGACTGTGTGACTCACTCTCTCCCCATGTTGTAGGACTGTGTGACTCACTCTCTCCCCATGTTGTAGGACTGTGTCACTCACTCTCTCCCCATGTTGTAGGACTGTGTGACTCACTCTCTCCCCATGTTGTAGGACTGTGTGACTCACTCTCTCCCCATGTTGTAGGACTGTGTGACTCACTCTCTCCCCATGTTGTAGGACTGTGTGACTCACTCTCTCCCCATGTTGTAGGACTGTGTCAGTATCTCTCTCCCCATGTTGTAGGACTGTGTGACTCACTCTCTCCCCATGTTGTAGGACTGTGTGACTCACTCTCTCCCCATGTTGTAGGACTGTGTCAGTATCTCTCTCCCCATGTTGTAGGACTGTGTCAGTATCTCTCTCCCCATGTTGTAGGACTGTGTCACTCACTCTCTCCCCATGTTGTAGGACTGTGTCACTCACTCTCTCCCAATGTTGTAGGACTGTGTCACTCACTCTCTCCCCATGTTGTAGGACTGTGTGACTCACTCTCTCCCCATGTTGTAGGACTGTGTGTGGTGACGGAGAAACTGATCAGCAAGGGTGCGGACCTGAACATGAGAGACGGCGATGGGAGGACTGCCCTGCTTCATGGCTGTCTGAGTGGCAACAGTGAGGTCGTCAGGCAGCTGCTCTATGCAGGCAGTGACACCAACAATGTGAGTACAAGATGATCATTGCCGTAGTCATGCAACAGTCATTACTGCCGCCTGCTGAGATGCATGGATAGAACTTTGGAACTACCCCACTGGCCCCAGTCAGCTGTCTGGTGTTAGGGGTACCCCAAGAGCTTGTAGTAGTATAATATTCCAGCAATATCACAGTGGGGGACACCGGAAATTGGCTTCACACATTGTACCCATGCAGGGAACACTGTGACCACTAGACCATCCCCCCACCCCTTTCAGGCTTTTAAGGGGCAGCCTGATATATGTTATCGCCATTGAGGGAAGCAGACATTTCAGATTAAATTCCTCTGCTGCTATGAATAAGATGTGAGTTAATAAGTTTGTTTTGGTAATGTGTCAAACAGGCAAATATGAAATAGCCACAACAAAACTCAATTGGCAAGTTCAATTGCAGGGGATTGGATGGAAATTAAGAGGATTTTTTGTGTGAATTAACATGATTAAAGGCCGTAATAATTGCAAGCTGGGGTATATTCCTGCTGTACTGCTTGTTGATGGTCATCTGAAGCTAAACTCAAGTGGTGTGGATTGAGTTGCCTGGCCTTCAGTTGATTAGTTACTGTCAATTTACATACTCACTCACTCACTCACTCACTCACTCACTCACTCACTCACTCACTCACTCACTCACTCACTCACTCACTCACTCAACCACTCACTCACTCAACCACTCACTCACTCAACCACTCACTCAACCACTCACTCACTCACTCACTCACTCACTCACTCACTCACTCACTCAACCACTCACTCAACCACTCACTCAACCACTCACTCAACCACTCACTCACTCACTCTATATCCCCCTGGTTTCAGTACACAGTGAATGGTGACTTCGCCCTCCATGAATCCATCACCAGCGGGGACATGGACACAGTCCAGACGCTGTTAGAATTGGGCACAGACGTCAACAAGTCCAACTGCATCTCCGGCTACACACCGCTCATGTTGGCGTTGCTCAATGGGTTCGGGGACATTGTCAGGCTGCTGCTCCGATACGAGGCCAACCTCAACCAGTGAGTATACACACGCACAGCCATCTGGTTTCTGAATCATATTGTTCAGCAATGCAACCAGATTCAGCACCTTGAATTCATCATGAAGTCACCTCATCTCAAAACCTCTAAATCATGTGGATGACCAGAGTCAAATACTAAACCCAACACAGAAAAACAAAGAAAAACGCCATGGCTAAACGATCACATTAAAAGTGAGCGAGATATGGTAATTTATATGAGGGGATAAGGTACATATAATTGTGGTGAAAGTTGTTAGAATATCGCTGAAATGTCAAACTTAACCCCCCTGTTTAAAAAACAGGACTTGTCCAACATTGCTGAGGTCAGATTGTATTCAGGGAGTCATCATTATTAAAAGACAGGTAAATATTTTTAAGGCATGTACTTTTTACTAAAATCCTTAAAGAAGCTGTACATGATGTTCATGTTCATCATAATCATTTTGTCACCCTGATGGAAGTAAAGAATTATCTCCCTTAGAATGCGTGGAATGTTATGTACATTAAGTCTTTTTGACGGCTCACAGTTGTACCATGACTAGTGCTAGCTTTCAATATAGATGTTAGTGATCGATAATCGTTAACTAAATATTGACAATTGTTGATAATTATCCGAGGAGTAACTTTCAGCAAATATACAAAAAGCTCAGAGACAAAACATCATATTACACATCACTGGTGAGTGGTGACACATTTATACATGGATTACTTTGTGGACATTTAAGGTATAACAAAATCAGTTGCTTTTGTCTTGAGCAGTCGACAAAAACAAGTTGCTTTGGTAACATTAAACTTTATTTCATCACAATAGTGGATGTGAGATATTATCGATGCCACAACTTTCATATTTGATATAGTTAATTAGGAAATAAACATACTGTGTTGTCAATGTAGAGCTAGGTTACCTGTAGATTTAACCGCACTAAATTGAATTTGGAACCAAAAGCGCAGCGTGAGGTTTCAAATGTTAAATTTAGCGCAGTTAAATAGTTAAATAGTGATATTGGGACAAATGATCATCTGAAGTTTCCTTTTTTAGCATTACTCCAATTGAAATGTACCTAGAGTAACCTCCCTTCCACCAAACTCTGCTTCCAAAATATAGGAAATTGGTTTGAATGTTTTTTTAGGCAAATCAATTCTTAGGATTAACATTATTATCCTACTTGCAATTATGTATTAGAGAAGTTTAAGATAGTTGAACAATTATTTCTTTATTGTGAAAATGCCAATTGTCAGTATGAACCAGGGAATTGTAAATTGAACACAGGTCTAGTTATGGCACCTACAGGTTACTGCTGGCTGTAAGAAACATCCATTGCCTTTAGGCAGATTATTACTGTAAATCTTGATATTAACTCGAGCGTGAATTAAATGCGAAAAATGCAAGTGGTCATCGCATTTATACCAACAATAAGACATTTTGGATAGCAGAAATTCCAACTTAGACATACGCTGAAAACAAACAACTATGTATTCCACATAACTGTTTATTGAGCAGCACTTGTTACAAGTATATAAACAATGTCATTCAAACACTAATTACATCCTGTGAATTGTCACTGCTGGGGTCAAGACAAGCGTTCTACTCACTCATGTCATCACTGATCACACCTGCAAGTCCAGACAGACACCACCCAACACAGTGTCTTTGCTCTTTGCGACTGCATCAAAGGCCGACACGAGCCAGCGCGCACGTATTGTTTTAGCTGAAATACTCTACTCAGCGCTTATAAGCCGTGTTATTTGGTGTGTGATTGGATTAATGTAAGGTTGGATTAATGTGAGGATTCTCCTGTAAACCTGACAGAGGACATTTTGTTTAGATATAAATCCACTGATGCTTGAGAGGAGGGGGTGTCGCATTCATATTGAGTCACATTTTTGGCTAGGGGCCAGTGGTCGCATTCTTTTGGAGACACATTAATTTCACGTTTTACAGTATTCATACATCAAATACTTGTTTGCTTGTCCTGGTTACTGAAGCCTGATTACTGTGAAATAGCTGTAAAATGACAGACAGTTGGAACTCACATTCACTCACTCACAGACTACACTGAGTAACTGACTAGAAGCATCATGGAGCCTCACTTCATTAGGTTTTTGGGCGGTCGGGTAGCCTAGTGGTGAAAGCGTTCGCTCGTCATGCCGTAGACGCGGGTTTGATTCCCGACATGGGTACAATGTGTGAAGCCCATTTCTGGTGTTCCCTGCCATGATGTTGCTGGAATATTGCTAAAAGCGGCGCAAAACCATACTCACTCACTCATTAGGTTTGTTGTAAGGATACATTTCATGAACTGTTTCCTCTGTTCAGGGCCATCATGGAAGGTGACACAGCTCTTCATCTGGCTGTTCAGGTTGCTCCTCCGGATGTGATTGCCGACCTTATCCATGCTGGTTGTAACATGGACATCCTGAACAACATGGGGGAGACTCCCCTCATCGTGTCGGTGTACGAGGGACGCATTGATGCTGCACGCTTGTTGATCCTCTCAGGATGCAGCATTGACAGGTACGACTACTTCTCCCCCCTCTGTGTCGCGTGTGTGCAGAACAGCGCCATCATGGTGCGATATCTCCTCTCCGAGGGATACAACGTCAGCAAAGATAATTCAGTGAAACAGAACCTTTTTTTCAAATTTGAGGACAACTACCCTGAACTTTTCTCCTACATATTTGAGGACAGATGTGTGAAGCCCATGAGTCTACGCGAGATCTCCCGAGTTCGTGTCCGTCAATTACTAGGTCCTGACGTGTCTGGTCGTATTTCACAACTCTCACTTCCAGGGATACTGAAGGACTGGGTCGTACAAGATGTGATATACTGAACGCAGGAGCATGATCTGCTTATTTATGGTCTGCCATAGATTCTGTCTACATCCAGTTCATCATGCTGAGTGCAGGCTGTGGTCTGGGCTGCTGTCTGTCAACTGCAGGTTTGCCCTTTCTTTGCTGGAAAACATACAACTTGGACATACAACTCTCTGTTACAGCAATATATATCAACAAGTAATATGTTTCCAAATATGATCACAATGATGATTTAGAAGCACCCTACAAAAACACTTACTGAGACAGTCCTGTGTCACAGGCCGACAGAGTTGTATGTAAAGACACTTATGAAATGTATGTAAAGACACTTACGAAATGTATGTAAAGACACCTACTGAGACAGTCCTGTGTCACAGGCCGACAGAGTTGTATGTAAAGACACTTACAAAATGTATGTAACGACACCTACTGAGACAGTTCTGTGTCACAGGCTGACAGAATTGTATGTAAAGACACTTATGAAATGTATGTAAAGACACTTACGAAATGTATGTAAAGACACTTACGAAATGTATGTAACGACACCTACTGAGACAGTCCTGTGTCACAGGCCGACAGAGTTGTATGTAAAGACACTTATGAAATGTATGTAAAGACACTTACTGAGACAGTCCTGTGTCACAGGCTGACAGAATTGTATGTAAAGACACTTATGAAATGTATGTAAAGACACTTACTGAGACAGTCCTGTGTCACAGGCCGACAGAATTGTATGTTAAGACACTTATGAAATGTATGTAAAGACACTTACTGAGACAGTCCTGTGTCACAGGCTGACAGAATTGTATGTAAAGACACTTATGAAATGTATGTAACGACACCTACTGAGACAGTCCTGTGTCACAGGCCGACAGAGTTGTATGTAAAGACACTTATGAAATGTATGTAAAGACACTTACTGAGACAGTTCTGTGTCACAGGCCGACAGAATTGTATGTAAAGACACTTATGAAATGTATGTAAAGACACTTACGAAATGTATGTTAAGACACTTACTGAGACAATCCTGTATCACAGGCCGAGAGAGTTGTATGTAAAGACACTTATGAAATGTATGTAAAGACACCTACTGAGACAGTTCTGTGTCACAGGCTGACAGAATTGTATGTAAAGACACTTATGAAATGTATGTAAAGACACTAACAAAATGTATGTAACGACACCTACTGAGACAGTTCTGTGTCACAGGCTGACAGAATTGTATGTAAAGACACTTATGAAATGTATGTAAAGACACTTACGAAATGTATGTAAAGACACTTACGAAATGTATGTAAAGACACTTACAAAATGTATGTAAAGACACCTACTGAGACAGTCCTGTGTCACAGGCCGACAGAGTTGTATGTAAAGACACTTATGAAATGTATGTAAAGACACTTACGAAATGTATGTAAAGACACTTACTGAGACAATCCTGTATCACCGGCCGAGAGAGTTGTATGTAAAGACACTTATGAAATGTATGTAAAGACACCTACTGAGACAGTTCTGTGTCACAGGCTGACAGAATTGTATGTAAAGACACTTATGAAATGTATGTAAAGACACTAACGAAATGTATGTAACGACACCTACTGAGACAGTTCTGTGTCACAGGCTGACAGAATTGTATGTAAAGACACTTATGAAATGTATGTAAAGACACTTACGAAATGTATGTAAAGACACTTACGAAATGTATGTAAAGACACTTACAAAATGTATGTAAAGACACCTACTGAGACAGTCCTGTGTCACAGGCCGACAGAGTTGTATGTAAAGACACTTATGAAATGTATGTAAAGACACTTACTAAATGTATGTAAAGACACTTACAAAATGTATGTAAAGACACCTACTGAGACAGTCCTGTGTCACAGGCTGACAGAATTGTATGTAAAGACACTTACTAAATGTATGTAAAGACACTTACGAAATGTATGTAAAGACACTTACGAATTGTATGTAAAGACACCTACTGAGACAGTCCTGTGTCACAGGCCGACAGAATTGTATGTAAAGATAACTGTGATTCACATTTACACAAACATGTATGTGATATTTTTCTCGGCCATGCAACAACTCTGAGTCTTGCCTTGCCAGGATCCACTTATTGTAGGTCTGAATTCAGAGGGGCGGTCGGGTAGCCTAGTGGTTAAAGCGTTCGCTCGTCACGCCGAAGACCTGGGTTCGATTCCCGACATGGGTACAATGTGTGAAGCCCATTTCTGGTGTCCCCCGCCGTGATATTGCTGGAAGATTGCTAAAAGCGGCGTAAAACCATACTCACTAACTCACTCACTGAATTCAGAATCATCCTGATTAAGATCCTTGGTGTGTCATCACCATAACCATTTGTGTTGGCATCAGTGTTGGGGTAGCTATCAATCCATCTTCCCGAGGCAAGAGCGTCCACTAGCCTTTTAATCAAGTCTTGTTACCACCCTTGCCACATTAAGCCCACTTCCCTGTGCTACATATGATTGGACTATCGCACATATTGATAGTCCAATCAGAAACAATTTCACAAAATCAACATCCATGACTAGTACACCTTCATTTGAAAGTGATTAACCGCTGCCGGTCTTTATTGACACGTCTTTTCCATCTTTTAAACCCCCCAAAGATTGCCTGATTTTGTGTCGGGGATAAAATCGCGAATGTTTTCCTTTTCTGATCGACTAGGTCGTTGCCTATGGTATGCATATAGTGGCCATCTTGGTGAAGATATAGGAGATAAGAACAGCGATCTGATTGGATATCGCGTTTTCATTACAAGGGGCACAACTTGTGATCTACACCAGGTGGCGCAAGGGTCGAGCCAAGAAAAGTTGCCTTGATGTGGCAAGGGTAGAAACTAGACTTTGATATTGGCTAGTGGACATGCCTTGGGAAGATGCCATCAATGCCACTCTGAGCTTTCTTCACACACCATGAGATGCAAACCAGCATGAAACTCTGCTCACTCACACTCACTCATTATTCTTCCAAGTTTCCAGGAAAGCAGTCATGGCCCTGTGTTTGTTGAATGTCCTATACATGTTTAACATCCGACTGTCAAAGTGCCCCGATGACTCTGAGAAAACGGGCCCAGCCTTGAACAATTCCAGACAATCAATAGTAATGTTGATCGTTGTGTGTATTATGTATTTGTAGGGTAATCACGAACTACTAATTTGTTGTTGGGGAAAGGATGTTAACACTTATTTTGAACTTTCCTCATAATATTAAAGAAGATTTACCCTTTCAAATAACTACTAAAGGGAACTACAGTAAACTATGGTTATAACGAACTCGAAGGGATCACTAATTTTAGTTTGTAATAACCTTAGTTCGTTATAAGCATATAAACAGCATTTATACAACAAATGGTCGGGACTAAAAATAAGTTTTTTATATTTACTGTATCTATTTATAATACTGATATCAATATTCAAGAAAAGATTTACATTTACTCAGTGGCTATCAAACTGTTTATGCAAAAGTTTATGATGTCATATTAGAATATATTTATTTGAGAAAAAAGCAGAGATAGTTGCAATCTCATTAAAATCAGACCTTAGTTCTCATGACCGCTAAACAAAGGTCTGAAGACATCCCATAAGGGGTCACGGCAGAACGACCTTTCATCCGACCAATCAGTGTGTCGCTTACCAGATTATGAAAGTGCCAGTCGGAATGTGATTTCTAATCATGCAATCTTGAAAACTATAACATGGTGTATTCAGAATGATAGTTACGGGTTTAACGACTGAATCCTTACAATCTAGACCATATATTAGCCATTCCAGAATGTTTTTTGGTTCAGGTTTCAAATTTGTAATCAAGAATTTGTCAAAATATGTTTCGAAGCGTAGTCGCCAATTTGAAATTTGTGCCGTAAAGCATGAGAAAGCTGCCCTCTGATTTGTCATTCCATTGGTCGGTCACAGTTCGCGCAAGGTCGGCCTGACGTGACCCGTAATGGGATGTCCTCTGATCTTTGTTTAGCGGAAGCGAGAACTAAGATCTGATTTGAATGAGAATGAGGTAGTTGTTTTGAGGGTACGTTGCAATGGGATTTATATGCACTGTATGCTAGTCTTCAAATTAAAGGAAAATGTTTCTCTAAAATATGTTGAGAGGAAGATTTATATATATTTACAATTTGTGATAAGAAATTTGTATATTCCTTTGTTTCACTTTAAATACTTTTGCTATACTTTATTTATATATTTATGCAGAAATTTAATGCCATTTTCCTTTTGGCATAATTGAGATATATGATGCATGTGTTACTGACATGTCTTCATGACAATTACTTAGCTAGCTTTATGTTGGTCATTCAAGAACTTGCTAATGAAGTGACCAAACTATGATGAATTTTAAAACTTTTTAGAATAATTCAAGTTTTAATTATGTCAATTCTTTTATGGACTTTTGTTAAATATTGGGCCCTGTTCCACAAATAACTAAGACAACTCTTATACTTTTAAAAAGACTTACGACAGTCACTGAGTTACGATCACTTTGTGGAATAACGCCCTGAAACCTAAGATAATTTTATGTTAACTATTTTACAAACATTTTGGTTATAACAGGACGGAAACTATGAGTGAATATATTTTACACTGAAAAGGAAAAATGTGTCTACAAGTTGCCTATTTCAGCTTTAGTATTAGTTTACAGACAAAAAAGATACAGCATTATTATGCTTATATAACACAAGATCTGATTTTATTGATATGTATTTAATGTTTTATTGCTTTCTTGCCATTGCGATGTGATTTTTGGTCTTCTCATTGGGAATCGCTATGTCTTATATGAAAAATATTTCACCCATTCCTTGTGAGCAGTATATTCCATCCTTATTTGTAAATATGTCATTATTTCAAAAGTCTGGGAATTGTACAGAATTTCTACAGACTTTAAAATTGTTCTTTATGCACTGAAATATTTTCTGCTAACAGCGTACACACAAACGGTAGCAGAAATGTCATGATGCTGTTACTATGGTTACAGTGTTTACAGCACTAAAATGTTTACTTTTCAGACGTTCAGCATGATAAATGAGTCTCTGGATAATAATATAAAAAAATCAGTCATTTGAAGTAAGAGAGGTGTCACAATGATATTACTCTTAAAGATTTATAAGGCTTTTATGTGTGTATTGATGAATGCTCTGCTGTATTGACATTTTATGGTGGCACATTAGCAGGGATGAATCCTTAATATAAAGAATCAGGACATCCTGGGTCAATAATAAAGAAAATATTTAACATGGTGATTGTACAGCCATCCCCTGCTACCTTCTTGGTGGCACTGATTGCTCAGCAGGATAAGGCATTGCATTTCGCCTGTACAGAGTTGTGTCCCTTAGCTGAGCCAGGATAAACTTGGTTCAATCCCCAGATTCACATCAGTCTTGATCCAGCAGCATCATTCCTGTGCTCATGGGTTTTACCAAAGTAGTATATTATCTTCATCACTTCGAGCTTTTACCACCACATGATACTGAAATACCATTCAAAGAGACCTTCAACCCAACTCACTGTCAACAGCAAAAACATTGTCGGGTTAGAATTAGTAGTAGGACGATGAACCAATGGACCGATGCATCAGTGGATCGCAAATTTTTACTTCTCGATACAATTATCGATCACAATCGCACTCAAAGTAATAAGTATCAATTCTAACCTTAAATGTATTCTTTTATAAATGTTAAACCAAAAACTAATTACTTGTGAAATTGAGTAGTGAAAAAGTAAATATTTTCATCTGTTGCGCCATACTTGACACTGTCAGCTGTAAATCGATAGTGTGCCAGGTATTTGGCCATCCTGTCTATGAAAAACATGGCTTACGCACCACAGAAAAGAGCACATGCAATTATTGTCGTGAGCAAGGTATCGTGATACGTATCGGATCGCACAGTTGGTGTATGCTCCCAGCCCTAGAATCGCAGCATTGATACCCCTTCCTGTAGATATTCATTGATGCACCCTGAGAACTGTGCAGCTGATACTATACATTAGAGAACAAATATGCACTTATATTGATGTTCCGGTTCCTGAAAACTGTCACCATGACATCGGCACAATTTCTTGCAACTGTGATAGTGTGATGTTATTAATGTTTCAACATGACATCATACAATATGTATGCAACACGTTGTAAATACTTATTTATTCAATTCTTTTAATAATTCCTGATTTTTTAGCATTTGTTTTCTTTTGTTGAGTTTTATAGTTTATGGTCATGATTTTGCAAACCATAGAACTAGACAACTTAGTTTAGAATTAACTTCAATACAGTTTTGTGTTAATGGAGGTATGAACGTAAACATACCATACTGTATAACTTTGCGTAGCGTACACATTTAGTTTTACGTTTTTGACTCCATAAATGCAAAAATATATTGATGTTTATTATAGGTCAACAATAATAACGACACTGACTGCTAATTAATCTTTGACAAATAAAAACTTCAGGCAACAATACGAAAACAGTGTCATCATTCACCTCAGGTGTTCAGCGCAAACCTTCTTTGATGTAGTCCCTTAATGGGCTTGGCTGAAATATTTTGTTCGTCTCATAGAAACAAAGATGAAAACAATTGCTTTGATGGTCAATTCAAATGCCACAATATCTCTTGTAATGTATAATTCATTAGTAAAAAATATAACTAATTGAAACAGTAATTCTACCAGCTAATGTAATGAATTAATTAATTTGTTCATATATCTGAAATGAATATTTTTGGATTTAGGAATTATAGAATGTGTTTAGCAATGGCAAATCAACGTTTTACAATCAACAACATTAATATTGTGTATGGCTGAGCCAACGTATGAGATGGTATGTTGTTGGCAAGGATAGTTGCAAACATCTACAGTATGATAACTGCTCTAATAAGACATTAAAAGATATTGTATAAAAAATGTATATTTTTCTTATTGCCATATGAATACGTTTCTGATGAGATATTACTTCCGTTAAGATGTAACAGGTGTTTCATAACCATGATTACAAATATAATTCTCTCCATCTTTCTAATCACAATTATCCTGTGTATTATTTATGTCAATGCTTTAAACATCCCACTGAGAGATGGAGATATTGTATTCAATGGGCCCAGGGTATGTATCATTTAGTATATTGATGGAGATGCTTGTATATACTCTAGCTATTTAACCTAGGATGCAATATTTCATTATTTCATTTCATTATTAGATACATTATGTCATTTACCTGTGTAATTCCATAAACACCCTATCAATTCCTTGTTGCTTGGGTTCCAGAAGTATCTGATTATACATTGTGTTACATGTACGGTGCTCACTATTTATAACTCTACCATAATGTAAAAATATCTATAAATAAAAAAAAATATACATTAATTATGTGTGTTGTGTATTTATCGATTGCAGCATTCTGTTGTAAAAAAGGCAATAAATCAATAGTTTCACCGGTCCATCAAACTGATGAGTCATCCCACAGCTTGGAGTAGCCTTCCCTGCACATTATTCAGACAGTGGTTCGAATCCCAAACAAGAACCAGCACTTGCATTAGCAGTGTCTGAAGCCATATAACAGCTTAAAGTGGAACCCTGTTTGTTTGAACTATACTATTCAAAAGAAGTTTAAGAACACCCGATTATTTCATATTACTATAGTTAATCTACTACGCCATGACACTAACTATAGTAATATATCAGGATCGGGTGTTCTATAACTTCTTTTGAGTAGTATGTACTGTTTCCAATTACATCATTTAACTCATTTTCTGATTAGCCAACGCCTCTGTGGTGTAGTGCACAGGGAGTCATACCAATAGACCTCAAAACTGGTAAAGGGCTAAAAAGGACTGGCCGTCTTGGAGCCAGGATACTGTCTGAGTGGGGTGTCAATGTTAAACTGCAGCATGGTATCTCAGTGGGCTAGCACTAAAAACCGGCATAAGGTCGGACTGGTACAAGCAGCCACACACGCATGTATGTCTCTATGTAAGTGAAACTATCCATGCATTAAGACGGCCCCTCCAATGCTTATCCCTGGTGTCCCTGGACTAAGGCTGCTCTGCATATGATTTGTTTGTTTGTTGTTTAACGCTGCAACCAGCAATATTCCAGCTGTATGACGGCGGTCTGTAAATATTCGAGTCTGGACCAAACAATCCAGTGATTGACATCATGAGCATCGATCCACGCAATTGGGATCAATGGCATGTATCAGCCTGACCACCCGATCCCGTTATTCGCCTTTTTCGACAAGTATAGTTGCCTTTTGCGGCAAGCATGGGTTGCTGAAGCCCAATTTACCCCAGATCTTCATGGGTCAGGAGACTTCATGATGTGCCAAATCGGGTTGCATTGCTTAATAACATGATTCAGAAACCAGATGGCTGAGCGTGTGTATACTCACTGGTTGAGGTTGGGTCGCCCTTTAGGCAAATATCGGTTGCTGAAGACCTGTTCTACCCCGGAATCTTCACGGGTCGGTCTGCACATGACTGAAATGTGGAGCGTACAAAGCATTGGAGACTATGTCCCTGATATATCCCTGACTATGGATACCATGTACTGTATAGCATATACAAGTTGGATATGATTATGACAAGGAGTATTAAGGATAACTACTTCATTTTTATACATACAGATGGGGAAGGTGATGCCTCGTTCACCCGATAGATCAAGATAAAGCCCTGAAACGTTGTGCATGTATAATATACAGAAGTTATGAATACACAATCGGCCATGGGAGCCGTTCCAATTTACACTTGTCAGAGGGGTACTCAAAGTACGTGATCTAGACTACCAGTTGTCGGACTTTCATTTTTGTGGAAGCCTCGGTGGCTGAGTGGGTTAGATCGCTG